TTAGGGCAACACAGGCTGACTAAGTCTGCTCACCTAAGAGTGCCAAGAGTCTAAGCAGGCAACAAGGAAGTGGAGTAGACCTGATGACTAAGACCTATCTACAGTATAGGTATCTGTGGATGATCCTAAGAGACCAAGTCTGAAGAGACAGTCCCAGGCAGAGTAGGCCTTATATTTATACCTCTGTGGTGGAACCTGCTAGAACATCTTGCTTACTCAGCCTAGTCAGGTGATCAGGTCATATGACCAAGGATGAGGTCATATGAGGTCATGCACAGCCATGCACAGCAGGTCACCTGACCATCCAATCCTTCCAGCAGGTTCCAGCACATGCCAAGGTATACCAGCTACTTCCATGTCATAAAGGCTTAGTCATGTCTCTTGACCAAGCAATGAGCTGGTGCCCTGACACCTGTCTTGCTTTGCTCATCATTCTAGGTGCAAGGGTCTTTTATTTGCTACACATAGTTCCCATATCCCATCATGATATGTCCCATCTCCCATCTCCCATCTCCTGTTTCCCATGTCCTGTGTCCCATGTCCTGTGTCCCGGGTCCTGTGTCCCATGTCCCATGTCCTGTCTCCTGTCTCCCATCTCCCATCTCCCATCTCCTGTCTGCCATCTCCCATGTCCCGTGTCCCATCTCCCATGTCCCATGTCCTGCACCCCAGGTCCTGTGTCCCATCTCCCATCTCCTGTCTGCTGTCTGCCATCTCCTGTCTGCCATCTGCTATCTCCTGTCTGCCATGTCCCATGTCCCATGTCCTGTGTCCCATGTCTGTCAGGGGTTGTCCCTAAAATCATTTGCAAACAGCTGCAATTGACAACAATCAGAGCACAGTCACATGGCACAACACCCCAAACAACAGCTGACACTACAATCACCTGACTCCAGGAAGGACAGATCCCAGAACATGAGACATCAGTCATAGGTCATGCAGGACCAACCAGACAAGAGACATGAGGTGCCTGCCCTAAGCAAGCTGTATAGTCAGCCACAGACTTTGCTTCCTTTTTACTTCCATACCTAGACATATGTAGAACCCTAGGTATAGCCCCTGTAGCTCTTTAGAGCTAATCTCTTAGGAACCCCATGGTCCAAGGTCATTAGGTTCTAACCACAAAGCTTTAATCACTCCAAATGTGCACATGACACACACACAATCGTGCCTGTTGGCTGCCGATCCCCACTCACTCTATAACACCCCTGTCAATCCCTCCATTTGTAAACAAATGTCAAGGCATTGATTGACATACAACTCACTACTCTCTGATTTGCTTGTTGCCTGTTTGGTTATTCGATCATCAACAATTGTTGGATCATGTTGCCCTCACAATGTCCCATGTCCTGTCTCCCATGTCCTGTCTTCTGTGTCCCATGTCCTGTGTCCCATCTCCCATCTCCCATCTCCCATGTCCTGTGTCCTGTTTCTATGAGTGCTTTATATAGTAAAGATCCAGGGTAGAATACCTATTTGGTTAGGGTTGTAAGTCTTTTGTTCAGTCTATGTAGCTCGGTAGTCAATATACCTCATGTGTGCTATACCTTGCATGCATGTATTTAATATATTATATGTTGAATATTTGGGGATATGGGTTAGAGGTAGGGTTTAATAAAGGCCAGGGTTAAGTAACCCTCAGCCTCCTAGGGACCTGCACTGCCGCAGTGGAAGCAGATTTAGTTCCACTTGGAATTTTGGACTTAGGGTCCGGATTTACTTCCTTCCTCCCACGTGGTGCCACGTGAACCACGTGTTTTTCGCGCGTGGCTTCTTCATATTTGCTTCACTATAGTTAATAGAATGATGAGCGAAGCGAGACGGGCTCCCCTAGTGTATTCATGTAAAACTCCATCATGCCCGGTCAGGGTCCGTAGAAGACAGAGATTGTTTCAGTTCCGGGCTAATTGCGGTTGAACTTAACTGTACATGTAGTTGACTACCCGAGACTTTAGACTCGGACAGTGACCAGGTATGGCCTGAAGGATATAAACTCTCAACTGCTCGGACTGTTCCCCTCGGGCTGCGCTCTCCTTCCTCCCAGGAGAAAGCACAAGATGCACAGCTGGTATCGCTGGATACTCCAGTACCCCACCGAGGTCTTCCCCCCGCGGTCGAAATGGAGAATCGAGGACATCCCTGATCTGGAAGGTCGTGTAGTGATCGTTACAGTACGTCCTAGGACGTATTTCCTCGCAAACATGGGAAAGCTGACTCGTCACTACAGGGCGGGAACACAGGTGCGTCTGTTTGCGTGTCCGGAGATAGGGGCTGAGAAGGTAAAGGCATTGGCAGAGTAACTATCAAGGTGCGCCCCACGTTCCTCAACCTCAACGTCAACCTCTTCCAAGCTCACCTCCCAGTACCTGCTACGTGCCAACGCCCGCGTGTACATGGCCTCCCGCGACCCCGTCAAATCCCTCCAAGCCATTTCAGAGCTCAAAACCGAAACTGGAAAAGAAGACCTCTACTTCCTCCAGCTAGACTTGGGAGATCTGGAATGTGTGAAGCGAGCGGCGGCGGAATTTGCACAGTGGGTGTTTGTTTGCTGTTGGGGAGGTGTGCTGATGATGGGAAAGGAAGGAGAAACACTTGCATTTGCTGTTTAACAATGCGTATGATGTGGCTTCCTCTTACCTAGAATCATCGCTCATCGCTGTATAGCGGGCTGATGCTTGTCCCAATGGACCAACTGACAAAAGACGGCTTCGACCTCCAATTCGGGGTCAACGCTCTCGGTACGCTCTTCCCGGTCAATCCACAAACAAAAAGCCTGAGAGAAATCAGGTCCGGCGTACTTGACGCTGCTCCTCATGCCTCTCCTCCTCGAGACTGCCCAAGCTTCGGAGCCGGGATCAGTGAGGGTCATCAATTCCAGCTCGATGTGCGCTCTTTCTCCCTCGAGTGGCCGGTATGCTCATGTGTCACTGGGTAAGGGTGCACCTTTATGCTCCCTCGGCGGGGATAGATTATCGCACACTCCGTGCTGGACCCATGCGGAACAAGCTAAGCTCCTGGACCGCATACGCGCAATCTAAATGGGTGCGTTCCACTCAAATGACTCCCTCCCGTAGACGGGTCGTTGACAATGGCAGGCAAACGTTGTGTTCGCAAGAGAGCTCGCGAGACGATACAGTGAAAAGGGCGTGGTTTCCTGTGTTGTGCATCCTGGTGCGTGCTCCGTCCGTGAGTGAGACGGTAGGGCTGATAAAGGAGAAGGAATCGTCCGAACCGAACTCCTGCGTCACTCGTCTGCCTTCAGGCGGATCCTCGTACGCTTTCCCAAATCTTACAACCCGAGCCTACTGACGTCGACTCCCAGCACTGTTTCATGTTCCGCCCCGACTCAGAAGGCGCCTTAACCCAGTTATATGCGGGTACTTCACCTCAGGCGGCGGACGCGCATGGACAGTATTTTATTCCTCTTGCGAGGAGGGGCGTGTCTAGGCCGGATACGTATGATGTGGAGGCAGGAAAGACATTTTGGACCTGGGTAGAGAGCGTGACGGCGCACGTCTAGATTTTCTGTATTAGCCTCCTCATGTACTTCATATTCCTTCACGGTAGAATACCCTCCATCGGTCACTCAGACCTGTTATTTCACTCAACTCGAACTCGCATTAAATTGCAATCTGCATATCCTAAGCTAATCTCATCAACGTCTGGGCATCCCACGCCCGCGTCCCCTCAACGCGCGCTGCGCGGTGCCTGGCGGGGCAGCGGGCCCAGGGTTCGATTGTTCGCTCTGCGGGTTACGGATGGTCTCGTCCACACTGAGGATAAGGCAGCATGCCTCGGCCGCCCCGCTCACAACGTTCGTCTTGACCAAACTCGGCTCCCAGACAAAGGCCTCCAAGTTATCCCTCACGCCTTCGTCGCTGTCTACGTCCACTCCAGCCCAGAGTTCGCCCCTCGCGTGCCGTTGACGAAGTTTGTTCATCACGTCCGTAGCGTCGAGGCCGGCATTGGAAGCGATCTGGCGCGGGATGGCCTCGAGAGCGCGGGCCACAGCAGTGAGGATCAGTTGTTGCTTTCCGGCGACTTTGAGCGCCTCCTTCCGGATGTATGCGCTGAGATCCATCTGCAGGAATGTTAGGAGCAAGCAGCAGTGAATGTTTGTCGGACGTACCTCCATTGCTCCGCCACCAGCAACAATTTCGCCGCTTTTTACTGCCCTCCGAACCACCTGGATCGCGTCGTTTAAGCTCCGCTCGACTTCCTCGATGAACTGGTCAGCTCCACCACGCAATACAATCGTGCAGGTCTTCGCTTTGGGGCAACCCTCGAAGAAGTTGTATCGCTCGTTGCCGATCTGACGTTCCTCGAAGGACGCGCATGTGCCAAGATGCTCGGGGAGGATATCGCTTGTCGTACTTTGTACGCTGCCACCAACAGCTTCGACAACACGCCGCAGATCGCCCTGCGCTACACGGCCAGCGCAGAAGATGTTCCTGTCCGCGAACCACTGGGTGGCGAGGTCACCGATGGGGAGCTTGGACAGTACAACTTGAGCGCCAGTCTTCTCGATAGCAGCCAGCTTGCGGTAGATGATCTCCCACTCTGCATCGACGATCGCCTGGTATTCCTGCACTTCTTCGATACGAATCTCGGCGTTGTCCTTCTCCGCTTTCAATTCTAACTCGACGTTGAGGCAGAGAATTTTGGGGTTCTTGAACGATTTCGGCTGCTGTTCGGCACCGGCATACGTGAATGTTTTCTTAAATGCAACGCCTTTGATGAGCAGGGAATCTTCCATAGCCCCACCAGGAACTTTCTTCACACCGATGAGAGACGTGTCATAGGAGAGTTTGGGATCGAGGGAGAGGACGGCTGACACGACCATCTCAGAGAAGAAAGGCTTGTGCGAATGTATGAGTTTGGATGACATCGACGTCGAAGCACACTTGAGTAGGAGAGAGCGGAATTTTCTACATTGGGTCAGCTGTTATCCATCCAGGATGCGGGTCACCGCTCACTCAGTATCCGACTTGTCAATGACTACTTGCACCTCTTTTATTCGTTTCAGTGCCTACAAGGTATCCGTAAGTATTGTATTCTTCGAGCGCTTGCCAATGCATACCATATCCGCGGCTTTCCTCACTCCTTTGGCGATGATGCCAGGAGCCACACCTTCTTCTATAAAGCCCCGAACCTCCTTCAGCATTGCACCGGCAAGAAGAACCACACTAGTGGTCCCATCACCAACTTCCGCATCTTGTGCGCGCGCGATGTCGACGAGTGTCTTTGCTGCTGGATGTATGATGTCCAACAGCTTGACGATGGTTGCACCGTCATTCGTGATGCTCGCCTCGCCGCGGTCGTTCACGATGAGCTTATCCATGCCTCTCGGGCCGAGTGTTGTTGCAAGCGTATCGGAGATTGCAAGGCATGCAGAGATGTTCGACAAGAGCTGCGGCGTTCCTTGCGAACTGTCTGTGCCTTCTCGCAATACCACAACCGTTGGTTGCTACGAAATAGGTGAGTGCCCGTAAGATATAACGTCGAATTTTAACATACCATCGGTAATCCACGGCCAGCCATAGTTGATGAGGCGTTGAGGTCGTTGTATAGAGGATGAGCCCACACTTGTTACAGTACGCGCGTCTTTTGCTTGGTGGGACGCGCGAAAATGCAGGGTAGGTTCGGAGTTTGAATTATACGTTGCTTCTGCCCAGCCACCGAGTGTTGCTTCTGGTGCGGCGCCAACTCCAAGTCGTCCCCTACTCTTGTTCGTTTGTGTCCAAATTACCCGTCGCTGCTTCCCTTCGAGCTTATCAGGATGGTGAAACGCAAGCTTATTGACATCAGTGACGAGGATGTATACGCTGAACTTGGACTTACACGAACTCGTCGTCGCGTCTCTCAGGAGGAAATCGAGAACGCACCTGCTATGCTTGAAACCATTGAACCAACGGATAGGAAAGTCCATCGTACGTACTGGACGCAATGGAGCTTCCTTGACTACAACAACAAGATCAGGCATCATAATTCAACCTGATAGGCCTGTTCTTGTCGGTCGCTCTCCTCTTTGGTACCTAAAGACCGCATATATGCTGGTATCCCCTGGTTTGACGCTGAACTAGTCATTATATCGTCAACTCTCAGGTGGTGTCTAAGGAACATTGCAAGATATATGCGTGAGTTTCATAGCTCTCTAATTCTGTGGAACCTCCAGCTCTGTTTTCTGTTAGCGTCCAACATGATTCCTACTTGACCGTCTGTTGCAAGGTGCTCAGTGTCCCGTACACTTCCTGGTCGGGCCGTAATGATTGACCTGCATATTTGCGTACCGATGTAGGATCTTTCATGGAACGGAGTAAAACTCAACGGTCTCGAGATGCAATCCAACTCTGCATTCCTCTTGCTTCATGGCGATTCGCTGACTTTGCCGAACGACCAAAGTTCGTGTGAGAGAACATGAAAAATCCGCGGCTGGCTAATCGGCGGGACAGCCTTCCGTGTTTCTTACAAGGTCCCACTTCCACTGAGACCTGAGTCACTTCGCGGTCTTTTGTCTGGAGGACAGACTGGGAGTGCTGCTATCGGAAATGGTCGATATCTCGTCAACTCAACCGAATTGGGAAAGTAAGTGTCCAACCCATGTACGTCATGGTGTATGCTCACTGCGGTATAGTGGAACATTTGGCAGTGTCCATCTCGCAGTCGACATGATCAAAGGAAGGCAGGTTGCCTGCAAAATCATTCCCCTCAAGAGCAAGGATGACAGCAGCGACATCGAAAGGTCGGGGAAATACGCTGCTGTCATGCGGGAGGTGGATATCCTCAAGAAGCTGTCACATGTTAGTTTGATTATATGTCAAGTATACCATGCTGAACGTTTTGTCAGCCTAATATCAATGAAGTGTTGGACGTCTGTGAAACTTCCGCAAGAACGAAAATGTTTGTTTTTATGATGTCCAATTGGGTTCTCTTATGACGCACTTTCTCCATAGCTGTGTCGTGCTGGGTCTCTCAACAGGGGGAGATCTGTTTTCTCATCTCGTCAGGAGAACCAGGTTGAATGAGATGGAGGCGAAGTATTTCCTCCTTCAGATATTCTATGGTATCAAGTATTTGCATCAGAAAGGAGTAGCACATCGTGACTTGAAACCCGAGGTGCGTCGTCTAGCTCGTACCTGGCTTGAAGTGACATTCGGTCTTTAGAATATCCTGCTGGTCACCCCGCCTCCGTTTCCCCGCCTGCAAATCGCGGACTTCGGCCTGGCTCGGATGTTTCCACGAGATACGCAAGCAAAGATGAACAACCGCTCACTCACCGTCCTTGGCACAGTGGACTATATTGCCCCGGAGATCGCCGAGCTCATGCAAATCGGACAAGAAAAACTAATTACTCCCACTCGCGGAGACGTTATTGCGATGGCTGGTGACAGCTGGGCGATTGGCTGCATCGCATATCAGATGTTCACGTAGATGCCTTTCTTTTCTCCATTGAAACAGACCACGACTATCGGATTTTTGTTTAGTGGCTTCCAACCGTTTTATCCTTACGAGTATATGGATAGTCGGGACCATGACGAGGACTATCACGAGGTAATACCGCCAGCTCAGCCGTTCGACGTTCCTCCCGCACCGGAAACTATCGAGGATGATAGAATGATGCCGCTCCCGCCTCTATCTGGTGCAGCAGTGAAGAGCAAGGACGGCACTCGCGATGAGCTAGTTCGCAAGGCTATTATGGAATGCAAGCCCGATATGTCACATGATATTTGGGATTCCGTTCCCAACGGTTCGTGAAAGCACAGTTCCGACGAGCATCAATGCTGAATATCCGTGCAGCTCGTACAATGATCGAAAAGCTTCTGGATAAGCTTCCTCAATGCCGATGGACAGCAAAGCGTGCTCTAGAATGTGGCTGGATGAAGGCTGATAGAAAGGCGATGGATGAAATGTATGAAAAGACGATTGACATGAAAGATTGATGCAACGTTTGCTCCGTTTATGAGCAACTAAGAGATCAAGTTGACACGGATAGCAGTAATCTTAATGCATGCTTTGATCTTTGGGACATGACTTCACACAACACGTAAACACTCTGATGCACTTACTGTTAATTCCATGGGTTGCATTGTGCATCAATTGGATAGGCAAGACATGTTGGGCATGCCATCCAATAATGTCTTCCATTTCCACCAATGCACAATGCACTCCATGACCCCAAGTGCCATGTTGTATAATTACTACACTCATGTGTCAACAAGATGCTGACAAGGATATAGGCAAACACTTACAATCCAACCGAGATATATCAGTCCCTGCTGAGCTGCAATATCTTTGGCAACTTGCTTCGAGCTTGCAGTGCCAACACCAACTTCAATATGATCCACTGAGGCAACATAAGCATGGCATGATAGTGTGCACATCAACGGCACGTACCAAGCAGTGAGCATGTCCAAGTCTTCTGATGATCCGGTCCCGTAGAGGCGTCAGTAAATGACACTTCCCTCTTCAGCTGCGTCGCCTTCTGCCTCAGAGCAGCCAGCGACCCGGAGACCTTCGACGCAGTTGCTGGGAAAACTGGTGTTTGCCTGTAGGCGGGCTGTTGGAAATAAGGCGCTGGTTGTGGCTGACTGGGGTATGCCGGGCGAGAAGAGATAAGAGGCATGGAAGGGTGATACTCGTCTGGGTCCTGCTTGATGCGAGGGTCTCGTGAAGGTTGGGGAGATCCGTAGGCGTTCGGAGGGGGATAGTTGTAGTTGAACCCAGTCGTTCCCATCGCCCCTGGAGGGTAGCGCGGGCTGATGTTCGGCAGATGGCCACTGGGTGGGACTGGGAGAGGTGGCGGAGACATGACTGGTTGATTGTCGCGAAGCTGCTCTGACGGCTCGGTCTCTTGCCCGTATGACTTGCAGATACGATGCACCCAATCATATACGCGATCAATCGACATCTCCACTATTGCAGCACCAACATAGGCTTCGAATATGCCCGCGTATGTCTTCTCGACATCGGTTATGTTGGCGCCAGTACTCTGGAGGGATGTGGTGAGTCGGTAGAGCTTCGCAAAGATAGCAAGCTGATGATTGGTGCAGAACATGTCGCGCTTTTTCTGCAGGGACGCTCAGTATAATTCGAAAGCTCAACGACAATAGCAGGCACACCTGCACAGCAATTGCTGTATCCATCGGATACTTGTCCCACAAGAACCTGAGCGCAGCAAACTTGATCAGATCCTGCCCCAGCACCTGAAACCTCTTGTGCGCAGCTCGTCTAGATATCCCACTCATGGTCGCTTCATTGCTCAACGGGTTCAAGACAACGTCCAGCGAGTCTTCGTCGATGATCTGCAGCAGTGGAGGGTCGAGATCCATTATGGAACGCGGAAGTGTCACCTCCCCGTCCTCAGTCATAGGCTGGGGAACATCCTCGGATTGCGAGGTAACAGCGGAATGTTCAAAGTACATGGGAGTTTGTTAAAGCTCGAATGAAAGACGACCGCAAGGGAACGAGGGGGGGCAAGTGCACACCGCGGTACAGAGGTGCATGCGCTGCATTGGTTGATGCACACTCAATCCAGGGCGAGATTCTGGCCTTCCCGTTCGGCGGCGTATCCTCTTCGCAACTTTCTCGCCGCCTAATCTGCCTCGTTCCCCTTTTCGCTTTTTCACAGGGTTTAGACGAATCATTCTCAAGACATTATCTATTCATCAAGGACATCTATTGCAAACAATGCTTTACATGGGTGTCTGTTAACTTCATCATCTCTGTGTATAACGTGTCAGATCATTCAAAGTTCATATTGAGCGGCCTCGTGCTTTGGTTGCAGCGACGATGTCATCAAACGTGATCGAAGAGCGTTCGGCCATAGAGCGGAATATGCCGTTGTACTCCCAAAGGTTCGCGGGAGAGTCAAATTCCTACAAATATGGATTCAGGAAGCGCCCACAGGAGAAGATTACCACTGTACTCACTGCGATACGACCGGCATCCATCACACAAATTCGGTCGCAGCCGATGATCGTTTTGAGTCGATCTACAAGACAGTCAGGTGAGTGGATTGCTTGTGCCAGAGAATGCATCAACTCACGAGCAATGATAAGCATCGTCCTGTCATGGAACTCGCGTGCAATCGTATCTTGAATCTTCTGATCCGTTTCATAATCAACCGAAGCAGTCGCTTCGTCGAGAACAATAACTCGAGAATCCTTAACCAGCGCTCTCGCCAAAGACACAAGTGATCGCTGACCAACGGACAAGTTGGCACCCTCATCATCTATGGTGGAATCTAGGTTGAAACGCATCACAGGCGACTGGGCACCACTCGGCACATCTTCGTCTTTCTCAGGATCGCCACCGACCATGCGTGTCTCCTCAACAAGGTAGGAACGTTTGAGGGCATCCCACAGCTTGGCGTCGTCGTACAAGCCGAAAGGATCAAGGTTTGTACGGAGAGTGCCAGAGAAAAGGAGTGGATCTTGCGGAAAAATGGCAATCTTGCTGCGGAGATCCGCAAGACCGATCTTGGAGATATCAACACCATCAATGACGATGTTCCCCCCACCTATCTCGACAAGACGGTACAGAGCTACCATGATAGATGACTTGCCAGCACCAGTACGTCCAACGATACCAATTTTCTCCCCTGCTGAAACGTGCATCGCCAGCCCTTTGAGCACCGGCGGCAAGCCGGGGCGATAAGACATGACGACGTCGTTGAAGTCGATCTTTCCGGCCTCGGGCCACGATGCCGCTGGCTTGGTTTCGGGGATCTCTTGAGGCGCCTCTTGCTCCACATGCTTCGCATAATGAACAACACGCTCCACACCGTTCATGTCGTTCTCAACCTCGGCCAACTGTCGCACCATCCATCCAAACGTCTGTTGGACCATGAGAATATAGCTGAGGACGACACCAGTCTGGGACGGGGAGATGCTGTTCCTGGATGCGACAGCGAGGATGGATACGACAAGTGTGAGAAGCGTCCCGAGGAAGTCCAGCCGAACTCCGAGCCAGCGTTGGTTGACGACAGTGAGCCAATATGCGCGGTTCTCGATATCCATCCGCTTGACGTTGTCATCGCAAAAACGGTTGATCTCGCCATACGCGCGGATGGTGGCAAGACCGGACAGTGATTCAGAGAAGTGTGCGTACAGCGAAGACCGAAGAATCGAATCAAGTCGCTTGAGCTCGCGCGCACTTGCCCGGTAGAAGAGGGCGGCATAGTAGTACCCTACGCTAACGACCGCGACCGCGATGAGGAAATATGGTTCGAAGATCCCAATAAGGATGACGGCACCGATAATGGCAGACATCGTAGCGCAGAACATACGAAGAGCGTCACCCAGCAAGTTGTCGATTGTGTCGATATCCTTCGAGAAGCGATTCATGATGCGGCCAAGGGGCGTGGTATCAAAGAACGACATGGGCGCGTGCATGACACGATCGATGGCGTCCCGATGGAGTGCTTGAGAAGCATAGAACGTGAGCATAGCAAACACGGTACCGTTAAGGAAGAAGCTGATTGCTTGGAAGAAACCCCACCCAGCGTAGATGCCCATATAGAAGCCTTGGGGCATCCAGGGCCAGTACAATTCCTGCCAGTAGACAAGCCAATACGAATTCATCACGTTGCCGATTTGCATCATGGCCAGGGTAGCGAGCAGCATGGGGATGAGCAAGCGCCCCCGACCAGCTTTCAGGTACGAGCCATAAACCGAACCGGCCACGGCGCCGGTATTGCGCTCCTCGGTTTGCATGAGGGCCATACCTTGTTGGGCGACCTTCTTCTTTTTATCCTCGCTCTTCTCGCCCTCAACAGCGATGACCTCTTCCTCCTCCTGTTCATGGCGCTCCTCCTCCGAGCCAAACTCTCGCACGAATCGCGCGAAGGCGCCATCGTGGCCCATGAGCTCCTGGTACGTCCCGCGCTCCGAAATCACCCCATCGACCATCGTGATGATGTAATCGACGTACGGCAGGAAATGGAGGGCATGTGTGACAAGCACTCGGGTCTTGCCCGCCAAGGCACCCTGAATGGCGCCGTGGAAGACAGCCTTTCCTACATGCGCGTCAAGAGCTGAGAGCGGATCATCCAGAAGAACAATGTCGCTGCCAAAGTAGATGGAACGGGCGATGTTGATACGCTGCTTCTGCCCGCCAGAAAGTGAGATGCCCCTCTCGCCCACCTCGGTGAAGTCATAATTAGGGAGCATCTCGAGATCTGCCTCGAGGCAAGCGTCGCGGATGGCGTTCCAGTACCGCTTTTCCTCAAACGGCTGACCGAAAAGGATGTTGTTGCGCACAGTTGCGTTCTGTATCCAGGCCGTCTGGGAACAATATCCAACCGAGCCACCGAACTTGACTTCACCAGAAGTTTGACGCATTTCTCCAATGAGACCCTGGAGCAACGAGCTCTTGCCGGAGCCGACGGCGCCGACAACAGCACAGAGCTGACCTCGCGGAACAATGAAAGAAAGATCCTTCAGCTGGAAGACACGGTCCTTCTTTCCTTGTGTATCCTTCTCTTGCAATGCCGCTGCCGCTCCTCCAGCGATGGCGAGCGCCGCAGCCTCCTTCTCCGCTGCTTTGCGCTCCCTTTTGCTTTGCTTCTTCCCCTTCTTCCCCTCCTTCCCCTCTTCCGGGGCCGGGGCATCCCACGTGAAGGTCGCGTCACGGACGTCGATCGCCACAGGCAAGTTCGGGTCGGTTTCGCGGGTGCTGGAGAGAGTTTCAGCGACGAAGACGTCGTACAACCGGGAAAGGGCCTGCTGAGCGTCGGCAATCGCGGACAGGGTCATCGGGAGGAACATAAGGGGAAGCCTCAGGAGCTGGAAGAGGGTGAGGGAGGAGAAGATAATGGCGGGTTGAAGCTGGTTTCCTGCAAGCGAGTACACGACAAACGAGAGCACCGCTGCGAATGCCGGAAGGGAGAACGCGACGGCGTTGTTAGCTGCACGTGTGAGGAGGAGATTGCGGATGTAGCGCAATTCCTGGGCTCGGTACTCTGCGATCCGCTTGAGGAATGGGATCTCCCAAGCAAAGAACTTGATCACCCGCATCCCACCCAAGAGTTCCTGCAAAAGCTTTGCGCGCCGATCGGTCCAGACCATGCTCTTCTTACGCATCTTGAAGAGTTCTTTCATTGCCCGTGTTTGCAGAGGCGTAGCGAAAACGAAGAATGCGAATCCTGCTAGGGCACTTGGTCCGAGGTTGATAAGCAGGATGATTAGGCAGACAATCATCTGGATTGGAGCAGCCCACGCAACGTGGAAGAATCCGCACGCAAAGTCAATTCGTGAGACGTCGGTCGAGATGTGATTGACGAGCTTGCCGTTCGTGAGAGTTGCACGAGCACGGTTAGTCAAGTGCACAGAGCGAGAGTAGATTGCACTAATGAGTGCACCGCGAAGCAAGACGCCGGTCGAAGTAGATCGATAGAAGAACATGTGCGTGCCGAGAGAAGCGATCACCTGCATGGCGAAGAGGATAATGGCGTATCCTATTCCCAGACCGACGCCTGGCGTGGGCAGGCCTTGTTGATGCAGAGCATACGAGTTCGTGGCATACGCGATGAGGGCTTTGACCACAAGCGGGGACGTGATCTGGCTCGTGTCGGCAAGAACCTTAGCTAGTCCTCCAATCCAGAACCAGACCCACACGGCTTCGTTAAGCGCCAATACCAGGCTAGCCTTTTTCTTCCCCCCCACCGTACGCCATTCGTGTTCCATCGCAGCATAGCCCCCCGACTTGTTGGATCCACGCATCATCCACCACGCTCGCCTCCAGAACACGGGAGACACCTCTCCAGCGGCGAGGCGGGAATTGTAGGCTTCTGCCTTCTTATGTCTCCTCTCGAACGCAACTCGAACCTTCTCACCCAGCAGCTGGGAACTTCGAGTTTCACTCATTTTCCACAAGTCTGGCGGCTCGAGCGGACGCGCATAGCCAAGTGTGAGCATAGGTGTTACCCAGCTGTAGGTGAGTTGGGAGAAGATGTTTGCTCTCTGTTCGGGCGAAGGGTAGGCATCGTCGAGCGAGGCGGCGGGTTGCGGCACATCCAAGGAAAGGAAGGGAACACGTTGGTACCTGTACGAAAAAAGTTGTGAACGTGTCGCTAGGCGTGCCGGTGAGAAGACAACATACCAAGGGTATGGCTTGTCGTACTTAAGGTATTCTTGCTTTACCTTGTCCAATGCGCCTTCCGCTGCATCTTCTCCAACATGTGTATGCACGCTACTCCTTCGATGTGCCTTCTCGTCCGTGTCTCCAGAGGCGCTGGCCGTCGCCGGAGAGATTAGCTGATCGCCTTTTTCGAGGTCGAGGGAGTGGGTGGGTTCGAGCGTGGGCGCAGTGGAGAGGGGAATGGTACCTTTCTCGCTGGACATGATGATGACTCACACTGAATAGATGCGAGGAGGAGGGACGCCAAGGCAAGGTGTGATGGAGCAGCAAAGGGAGTTGGCCGTCGAGTGTCAACCAGCACCAGGCAAAGTACGAGTCGACGAAGGAAACGTGCGCCCGGATTCGCGGTGGACCACAAGCTCGAGCAGGATATCCGGGAGCCGCGCAGAAAGGTTGTTTGTCAGCAAGTGCGCCTGACGTTGACACCGAAGACAGGAAGCCAACACGCAGTCAAGGTTCAAAGCCCGCCCCCTCAGGGAACTCTTCGTCAGTGGGATCCAAGCGGATCGAAGGGCCTTTCCTTGCGGGGATTGGCCGTATGTGTCGAGAGATAGCGGCCAGTCCATGCCGCTGCGTATATATACACCCCGTTCGGAGCAGGACATCGACAAAGGTTGTTGGACGGGTCCAGCGCCTCCATTTATGACCACGCGCCCCACGATTGTTCAGCATCCACCTAACCCGGTTGATCAGTGAACACTTCGTGGACGTAAAGCAGGAGATGCCGAATGTTCAGGGCCCTCGGCGACCATGCACTGAAAAGGGGGCACGCGCGCCTATTGGCTCACCCAGCCGGCCACTCCAATTTGTTTTTAGACGGCTTCCTCCAGGCCCGGAAATCCATCGGATAAACATCTTTTCCTCAAATTATTAGACTAGAACGCAATTAATATTCTTGGTCACAATGACGATGGATGAATACTTCACGCCCAGTCTCAATCCAAATCTTTGTCTCGGATTGGCTAGCCTGACCTTTTCCTTGTCGATCTTCTATCAATACTCTAGACATTCCCATCACTTCCCTGGGCGTAGAGCTGGCAGCAGAGTAAGCGGCCCCACCTTCCGGTCGCAGCAGACAACGATCCATACTCCCGCGTGGGCCGACGATACATCCACGGATGGCTGTATTCTCTGCTGGGTGCAGGAAGACAAGCCGCCAACTTCCCAAGAGCGTCCAGACCCTCTGAACAGACGCGGTACAAGATAAATTGCACCCTTGATCTCCGTTGTTTGGATGAATGAAGAATGGACGAAGGTGCGTAGGGATTGTTGCCAAGGATATGCTGGGAACAACTTTTGCAATCAAATTGGATAACATCAGTAAGCAATAACCTTGTTTGGTATTTGTAATAAACACAGACATATATATATATATCCCCTCTATCCGGAAATGAATGGATGCGAGCAAAGTCATCATTTCCATGAGAAAGCGGCGTTTAAAGGGTTAAACAAAGGGAGCTCTTGATACCCGGGTGGCGTGCAAAGTAAGGAGAATCAGGAATAAGCCTTGCTCCCTCTTCGTGCGACTATATGTTGAACGAATATCAGTGGTAAAGGGATTGGCTCTATGCGTCGCCAGCTGTACGAGTTGTCTCCAGGCTCCGGCGAGGTCTCGTCCCGCAGAGGTAAGGAGCGACCGACCCTCCGAGACTTGTGTTTCCCGCTCAAATGAATGGTGTGGATTTACAATACCCACGCCTGGGTACGGCCGAGAGAAATGCCTTCGAATAATAGAGTTGAGCATGGGTCCATGGGAGACGCTCGGCCGTGGCTCGGAGAACCGGGGTTGTCAAAGCTAAATAGAGGGCACAGGACGGAAGTAACGCAAGAGAGGTTTCGGCTTCGAGGCGCTCTGCTTTTCTCGCTTCACAGTTTTTGCACGGATGCTTTCGTCGTATATAAAGCTTCTAGTCTCATGTACTGATCGATGCAGGTTCTAAAACTCGTCAATATCTCAATTCAACTCGGTACAATGATGTCATAGTAAACTGATTATCTGGGATACGCATCTCGCTTCTACCTTGGACGTCAAGCCCCATGCTTCTGGCAGCTCTGTCTGTTCTTATCGCCCGCGACTGCCATGCCACGACATGCTCCTAATGAACAACCAGAGGGCGCTTCCAAGCAGCTTTCGTCCCCTGTATCTCTACGTTGTCGTTGCTTTTGCGTTCTCCTCTCTTGTGAATACTGAGTAACATGACTGCCGAGAAAGCCGTCTTCGACGCCGAAACAGCCCAAGAGGCCCAGATTTCCCAGTCTGATCGTCGTTTGAACGAACTCGGATATGCCCAGCAGTTCACGCGTTCCATGTCATTCTGGGCCGTGGTGGGCATGAGCTTCACCGCTATCGGTATCCTCACGGGCATGTCAAGCGCCTTCCAGACCGGGCTTTTCTCCGGTGGGCCGCTCGGTCTCGTGCGTATTTACTTCGAACGTCCCAGGAATGAAGAGCTGATGCAGGATTGGGCTGCTCGCACATGTGGGATGGATAGTTCTGGGGATGGAACATCTGCTCCATATTCATGTTCCTGATTGCCCTCTGCCTAGCGGAGATCTCGAGCGTGTGGCCCACCGCTGGCGGTCTTGTGAGCATCACTTGTTACACACTGTCGATTTTCATTCTAAGATCGTTTCCGAACAGTACTACTGGGTATGCAAGATGAAGCCGGACGTCCCTGCTCTGGGGTAAGCTCAATCCCTCCTTGGACCCCTCATTGCGTCTGACTTGAACGCTGTTTCCTATGTAGATTCATAACAGGAAATGTCTATGCTTGGGCTATGGTCCTTACCGGCACGTCCGGTAACCTGAGTGTTACTCTTTACCTTGCGAGTGTGATTAGCATTGGTGGTGGGAAAGTATGGACACAGGTGGAGATTGCTGCTATGGCCTGGGTGAGTTTGGAGCGTGGATTGAAACGATGTAGGGATGAGCTGATGAGAGGATAATATTAGGCCCTCAACATCCTTTCGGGTCTTCTGAATACGTGGGGAACCAAGCCGATCGGGTGGATCGCGGGTTTTAGTGGTACGACTTCCTCTCTTTCTCTTTCTTATCTGCACTCAGTTGACGGCCGATGTTTCCACTGAAGTGTGGTGGACGCTCTGTGGGACGGTCGTGCTCGTCATTTGTCTTCTTGTGAAAGCTCCTGTCAAGAACTCGGCCCACTTCGTCTTTCTGGACTTTGAGGTGCGTCAATTTGCCTATTATCGTTGTACGAACCCGTCAATAATTAGCGAAGAACTACACCGGCTGGGAATCAGAAGGCTTCGTTGTTCTTCTCGGGTTCCTACAAGCGGTATACACACTCGTATGTCCTATTTCCTGTCTCACAGAATCCTGGCTGATATAGGACAGGAAGGCTGCGAGACTGCTGCACAGGTGGCGGAGGAGGCCATCAAGGCCGAGCGGCTTTGCCCGATCGCGCTCAGTGTCTCAGTGGCAGGATCGTGGTTTATCGGTGTGATTTATCTGTGTGTTCTTCGTACTTATTCTGGAATGAGGTCGCTGAGAAGGAGATAGGCTGTCGCTTCTATTCTCTGTGCAGTCGATCGCTTCGGTACAGAACACCTCCTATGCCCTGCCGATCACGCAGCTGATCTACGACGCCGTCGGGCGGGAGTTGGCAATCTTGCTGATCGTGATTATCCTTGTTGCCCAGGTACGCGACTCAAGCCGACTAATTTCGCGTGGGGGTACTTAATTGATGTGTCACAGTGGGCAGCAGCACTAACTGCGTGGACCGCCAGCTCACGACTATTCTTCGCCCTCGCTCGGGATCGCGCGTTCCCCTTCCAAAAGACGTTCATGACTCTCAGCCAGACAGGAGCCCCATATGCCGGCGTCTGGTTGTCGGTCTTTGTCGGTTGTGTGATAGCGGCTGCGGTGAGACGGCCAGGCACAAATAAATCATGGTGTACTGACATGCCTGTAGTACATTGGCAGTGCCATCGCGTTCAACGGTATTCTCGCTGCTGCTGCGATAGGAGTGCTTCTCAGCTACAGTGTACCGATTTTCTGTCGAGTTTTCTGGCCGAATACGTCAGTACCACCCCAGGTTGTTCTATGTGAGTCGGCTCAAGGCAGATGTCAGGTTGGACGAACGCGGCCCTTTTACACTGGGGCGATATAGCTGGACGCTCAATCTGCTCAGCCTTCTATTCTGTCTCTTCTCTTGCGTCCTGTTTATCTTGCCGACAAGCACTCCAGTAACGAGCTTGAACATGAATTACGGTACACGCGCTACTTTTTCCCGAATATGTATAACCCTACTGACTTCAACCCGTGTAGCAATCCTTGCCATTGGGGCGATCCTTATTCTTGTTGCGTTGCAATATCTTAGTGCGACTCTCGTCATGAGACGACAGTATTACAACTGACATGACGTCTAGTTTGGGGCCAGTGGATTTTCAGAGGCGTCGTGACGACATATGGAGCTACGTCATTGGCGGAAGGAGTGGACATAACTGGGGAGGAGAAGGGAAATTATATCAGTGTTCGGGGAACGATTAGTGATCTGTAGCAACATACAATCGATTGTAGCACATTCTCGCCAAGATCACAATGGAAGTCAGAAGCAGTATTTCTCCGCTGACCTTTTAGGGTTCAATTGATTGCTCTTCGCTATTTGCCGACCATGTCGAAACCTCCGAATCAGCCTCTTCCTATCCCCATCCATCTTCCTCCGGTGCTTAGTTCTCGGCCTGTGCAACCTGATGGTTCGATATGGTCGAGACCAGTGTAATAGTCGTCTAAATTCAACTAGATAGGGTAACACCGGAAACTCTGGCAAACATGCTTGGTAAGGTAGCAACACCGCAGGAGTTTGTAATTCCCTCTATTGCGCGACTGGAAGCTTACAACAAGGGCAGTACACCTATATGGATCTGTACTATGGACGGTGATTGCCCCGTCGCGAGCGGTTTCTAGGTGTTGACAGACTTCTAATATGTGTAGATTGCAACCGCATCTTCCAGTCGCACGAGCGTCTTGGCATGCATCGCAAGCGCGATCATCACACTGAGGACGCTGAATCCAACATCATTACATGGAATCGGTAGCTCGCATAGAATGCGCCACGCAAGAGCATCAACAGTTGGTTGGCAATTAGCAGGCACAGGACGGGGGGGAGGCAACCTCGTATTGACGGAACGGCTGAATTCAACATCAATTTGCGTGCTGTGTACAATTCTGTGTTACCACGGACACGGTTTAATACTATTTGTATATCTGCAGCTCCATTGTCTCTACTTTTGTTTAAGTGAGCTCAAGTGTTTGTTCCAAGAATGAATTCTACCTGTTCGTCGGAGATAAGGAGAGTTACGTAACACCCATTTGAAACTTTGGGCGTCAATGGGACGGTCACAAAATATCAACCCTCACTCCTCTGACGAAGCACATTCAATGGTGAGCATTTGGAGACTGTTCCCCTTGTTAACACTTGTGAAATGAAATCTGCATAGCCCGCAAAATCCAAGAAAGAAAATCATGGACTCGGTCGAGCAATCATCAACAAGAAGGCGAAGGATGCGAAGCAGGCACATGAGAATGGGGATCTTGTACGCCTACCCTGCACTCGAAGCTCGGTTCATGATCACTTAATCATTCCATGGGCAGTATACCACAGATTTTGAAAAATACAGTCGACTCAATTCAGTCACTCAACAAGGGGATCTGGATGAGTTCCTCAATACCGCTCAGCTAGCTGGCACAGAATTCGTTGCAGGTCCGCCATAGTGTCCGTAATTGTCCGAGTCTCTGCTGACGACAGGAACAGAAAAGCAAAATATCCGCATCATGCAATCCCCTTCTGCTGCATCATCTTCCGCTCATAATCCCTTCCTGCTCAGTGCCGCTGAGGAGCGCGAAGCTCGCCGTCTCCACCAGGAGAACAAAGCTCTTCTACGTGTCCCTCGTCGCCCGCCTTGGACCAAATCTACTCCTCATGCGCAGCTCGAGCGGCAGGAGAAGGATGCCTTTCTGATGTGGCGGCGATCACTTGCGAATCTGACTGAGTCGAATCCGAACCTCCTGCTCACGCCATTTGAGCGAAATATCGAGCTTTGGCGCCAGCTCTGGCGTGTGCTGGAGCGAAGCCATTTGATTGTGCAGATTGTGGATGCTAGGAATCCGCTGGCCTTCAGATGCGAGGATCTTGAGTCGTACGTTCAGGATGTCGAGGGACCGGAGGGCGAGAAAGGTGGGAGGAAAGGCATGAGAAACTCGCTGCTATTGGTCAATAAATCAGATCTATTGACTGCTCAGCAAAGGTATGTTCTGCGCTCTATCTCTACTAGACGGCTTCTAATCTTCCCACAGACAAGCTTGGGCCGACTATTTCGAAGGACAGGGCATCAAATTTGCATTCTTTTCTGCTGCCGACGCAGCTGCGCTGCAAGAAGCTGCCCGAGTTGAAGCGCTGGATGTGGAAGAGATGCACGAGAGCTCTTCAGATGAAGAAGATGACGAGGACAACGAGGAGAGTGTGGATGACAAATATGGCGCCGAAGACGACATAGAGGACATAAACCCTGATGCGGACTTTCAGGTGGAAAGCCGACTAGCCGCAGATCTTGAGGCTGCTACAAAGCTGGAAGGTAAAGTGGAGGCTCCCCACTCAGCAGGTGTGCCGGAAGAAACCGCGTCGTCCGCCGATGAGGTGGAACATTTCGAGGAAAACGAGGACGAACAGGTGGCAAAAGATCCCCGGATACGAGTGCTGGACGTGACCGAACTAGAGGACCTGTTCGTTCGGGAGGCGCCTGATTTGACATGTGTGTGACGGTTTTGTCGTGTCAGTGTACCATGCTAACGACCGTAGTGTTCGCAACAGAGAGCGTACCCACACCGAGGTTGACCGTTGGTCTTGTGGGCTACCCTAATGTCGGCAAGTCTAGCACGATCAACGCCCTCATCGGCGCGAAGAAGGTTTCCGTTTCCTCCACCCCCGGGAAAACCAAACACTTCCAAACCATCCACCTATCACCTGATCTCATCTTATGCGACTGTCCAGGTTTGGTTTTTCCGCAGTTTGCAAACACCAAAGCCGAGCTTGTTTGTGACGGTGTTCTCCCTATTGATCAGATCAGAGAGTGGAGTGCACCAGTACAGCTTGTAGTGAGCCGTGTTCCCAGGCAAATCTTGGAAGGAACCTACGGGATTGTGATGCGGACACCAGCTGAAGAGGAAGGTGTTAGGGAAGCAAATGCTGAAGACCTCTTGGTACCTTATGCAAGTATGTGAAAGGAAGCATGTGTCTACTAATCTGACCGTGGCTTTTCTAGTCGCTAGAGGCTTTGCAAGAGCTGGCAAGGGCGAACCCGACGAATCCCGTGCGGCACGTTACATACTCAAGGATTATGTGAACACAAAGCTGTTGTACTGTCATCCACCTGTGGGCATTGATTCTGACGAATTCAACTCTCCATCTCGTGCACTGGAAATCCGAAGATTGGAGAAGCTTGGAAAGAAGAAAGCACCCACAACTCGAGTTGGAAAGGACTCAGACGCGTTCATTCCTTCGCCGGGACAATCATCCACCGGAGGCACAGACAACATGTCTCAGCCAAGTGCCCACAAAAGCGATGCGCTGGACCGAGAGTTTTTCAACACCAACGCCATGGGCAATCGTCCTTACATGAACGGTCGCGGAAGTCGACCGATGCCGCATCAAAGACTAGTGGCCGACGACGGCCGTACGTTGACAGCTCAGGAACAGAAACTAGCGGCCCTTGGCTACGGGCTCGGCGCGGGGAGCAAAAAGCACAAGCTGCCGAAGCGGACGAAGCAGAGAAGTGGCAAGGGATATGATTAGTTCAGTTGGATGTTGAGTTTCCGTGCTTGTCGGAAAGAGGCGGTGCATGTCTCTCTTTGGCAATATGCCAGAGCGGCCGCAATATTAGTAGTAGTATGGCGAGCTCGAAGCTGCTCGCTGTGGCGTGCCATAATGTGAACGGAGTTCTCCTCCCAGACCTGCGGGAGTTGTTTCTTTATCTACCTAACACCGACCGACCCTGGCGTAAAAGGAGAAAGTTCCCTCAGGGTTATTGTGTGGAGTAACCATAGTAGGCAGCCAATACCCGTCACCAAGAAATTTCCCGGGATATGAATGGAAGATCATGGCACCTTTACTCTAACGACGCTATCGTATTGGCTCAACGGTCCCAGCCGTCGATGGACATTCTGGTTTAAGTAATATACAGCCCATGTGGCCAGCAACGGGGTACTTGTACGGAGGAATCGGTAACCAGGGGGTGAGTTCGCTGTGAGACAGTCAACCTCTTTGAACATTCAGTAAACCACCTGAGCCTACCTGAGCAAGATGGGGTGCACACTTGGGCAATATGTATGAATTCACTTCTGCACGAAGTGAGAGTGCCCGCACAGTATGCATCGCTCAGGAATGCGAGAGTGTCTGCCCCATGTCAGCGTAGTTCTGAACTTGTCCGCCTAAACTCACGGCTCCCATGACTGGCAGTTGCAGCCTTCCTTGCCGCACTTGTTCGGGGGTTGAACGGGAGGCACTATAGCGGCCAAGACTTCGTTAGCGAACCAGTATGAGGATTGGATTGTGGACACACTTGTAAATCGACAAAATTTAGGGTAATGTGAGGCAGACGACGGCCGGGCGAGGATCGAACACAGAGAGTTGTTGGGGTGCCCCTGTCAAGGTGGGCGACTGCCTACTTATAGGATCGGCGGGCGCAGCACGCGGACATAGACGGCGGAATCATCCGAAAATTGACAAGAGCGTCGTGAGGACCAACTTGAAGCAGTCGTGGCCGAGAACGTGTTCAGAACGTGGTATGTTGCATGATGAAATCCGGAAGATGCGGATTGTGCGCAGTATCTGTATGGCTCAGAGGGCGAAGATTGAGGTTAGTTGACTCGATTTCCATTTAGAATTGCCAAAGCGATGCTTCGGGACAGCAAAACATGCTCCGACCGTCATGATTGGCGTCATCGGTATCCACCGATTCACATCCAGCCTGACAGCTACAAAGAGGGCGAATGCGCGCACTGATTTCGAAGGATATGGAGAAATACATTGAATGCACTGCCATGATAGGAGTGGGCAACCTCGGACCGCATCCACCGTCAGGGTTAGTTGGCAACACGTGTACCAGTGCGATGCCCCCCGATAAGGGCGCGCTCGGCAAGTTGTCAATCCCACTCTAGGAGCGTGAAGGCCGGGGTAATCGCTCTTGCTTTGAGTGCAATGATGAAGACGTAGCTGACTGATGAGCCTGTAAACAGTTCGACCTCATGATCCGTCTTCCAAGATTGCGCCATGCGGTCGTAGAGAGCCCCAAACAGACCCTTATCGTTCTACTCCACCTTGCTTTTTCTAGCCTTGCACTTGTCCATCCGATGGGCTGAATCGTTCCCGTCCACTACTACCATCGGGTAGGACGCCATCTCGGAAGCCGGCTCTGTCCGTCGCTAAAGGGTTCGGTAACCACTGAGGTCGTAGGGAATGACGCAAAATTTCCGATCGTTGCAGGTGGTGGTCCAGCGAGTACAACAGACACTTCGTTGGGACTACCTAACAAGGACAGATGTCAGAATATTGGGATACACTGCCTTATTAACGGGCCTTACTTCCTTTCACGAGCAACGTGCGATGATGTGCCATTTGCACTCTTAGCCCAGACAGTGGGTGCTGGCCATCTAGCACCTGCATGCGACATATGACATATGTGGACGAGGGCAGATCTTCCAGCGAAAAATCCCTTTCCCTGGTCTAAAGGAACCCCTCCTACTCGGCGGTCAACCGGTTCGACCAAAAATTATGGGCACGCTGAGGCAAGCATGCAACGTAAACCAAAATTTGCTACTGGATCATGCGGTCAATATGTCGCAATTCAAGGAGCGTCCAGGGCCCGTAACTCACGCTCAACCGGATCATGTCCACCCACCTGTGTGTTGGCTGGTATGTACGCCTCATGGGCAGTATTCAGCTATCGGCGTGGTTCCGCTCGCTCAATATAGCGGCATCCTTGCCCACTAGTTAGGGAGGGCTTGACCAGTCAGCCGCGGTAATCCCGCCAAATACCCGGCTGTGAAGCTCGAACCGGGCATGACAATGAATGGCGCCCATTGGATGCGAGGTGATAAAATGCAGATTCAAAGAAGTCGGAAATGCACAAGTGCTGAGAGGAAAGGGTTACCTTCGGCAGAAAGTCGGTTCCGGAATACTGGAATGTAAGCAAATTGAGCCCTGCTTGAAGGTCGGTCCGAACCATTCGGGTAAGTGAGGCCTTGTGACGAGGAAAGAAGCGTCAGGACGTAAACCTAGTTGTCCAGCTGACATATTCATTGTATGCAAGAAGTAAACGATAACCATTGAAGAGGCTTCGCGGGCTTAATGTTCGAGAGATATAAGTTGTGCGGTATGCACAGTAGCAGTAAAAGGCGTCACCCTCTTAGCGTGTTCCCTCAAACTTCAATCCCAGCTAACTGCAATCTATTGACCGAGTACACCTCTACTCATCGTATTTGTAGATCACAAGTATGCAGGCCAGCACCGAGCACTTCACACCTCAGCCCGGCTGGGGGATACTGCCCAGAATCAATGAACGCTTAACGCAACGAGGTAAAGAACAGGTGTCCTGGGTAATTGAACAGAAAGGGGCCGATCACACCCCAGAGTATCATACGGTCCCAATAGGTACGTAATATTTTGGTCTAGGGCAGGTATTCATGTAAAGTCCAAGTGGACGGAAACATCCACATGGAGTGCGTCGGGGTCTCAAGCCGGAAGAGCGAGGCGAAGGAGAAAGCGGCGCAGCTGCTCCTCCCCGTGCTTCAGCAGCTTGATTGGTTTGTGAGTATGGTGAGTATGCTCTCTGCTTGATTGTGTAACATGCTGAGGCTGATGTGATCCAGAACTAGTCGTGCATGCGGAGTACTGATGTGAAGCGAATTGTGACGTTAACGTATTATTTCGCCCCCATAAGGCGCCGTAATAGGTTAGTATGCCCCAATCTCGTCTCGTCACCTCCAAATGCCATAGGACAGTGTAGATAGGACCGACATAAGCCATGAATGATATAAATTTTGTTTTGCTCACATTGACCGGTTCTCTAGCAATGTAGACGAGTGGTATCATGAATATATGGATACATAGAGATCGTACAGTCGTGATCAAGAAACTACCAGGACTTGGCTCAAGATACCTGTTGGCGCCTGCAAGCCGACTGGATATCTTGAATGGTATATTCCAGGGAGATCCCAGTGTCAGCGTAGACGGCCCTGATGAGCTTGTAGAAGCGTTCCGTTTGACGGACCATCTCCTCTTCGCATGCTTTCCAGACTCCGGGCAAAATTGGATCAGAACCACCACTTGTTTCGCCTTTAGTGCCAGCAGTTCCTTCAGCAGTGTCAAAATGCTTCTGGACACGCTTGAATAGCGCATCAACTATCTTCCGCATATCTTTAGCGTCGAAGTCTTTTACTACTCGCTTGAGACTAGACTTGTTGAAGGCGGAATTGGTGAGCACATCCTGAGGAGATGAGACCTGTAGTGTCTTTTCGACTCCGTCAAAAAATACCTGAGGTTGTCTGAGTACACATTAAGTAAGCGGAAGGAAGAACTCACCATGAGACGATTGAAAGCGCGGCGCAAAATAAGGCGCAGATATGCCTCCAGATTCTCTTGATATGCGGCGTCGGCTCTACTGACGAACTGACGGGTTGAGCTCACTTCAAGCTGAGACATATCTGATCTGAATGCAGACATGTTCTCTAAACAGCTCTGGTTAGATGAATTTCCCAAGATTGGCGTAATGGACATACCAATCATGATGACGTGGTAGTTCAGCTGGCCCTTGTCTTCGGCAGCCTGCGAATCTCCTCCATCGAGCTTGGCCATTTGTTGCAAACATTCGAACATGGAGGTCACGAGGCGTTCATAGGAACCGTCTACTTTGTTACGGATCTCCATCCCCTCGCACCCCACTAGTTGAGATTCAACCCGGCTGACGAACACCGGGAAGTACTTGATGAAGTGAGCGGCGCCAATACGCTTCTTCGTTGTGAGCTTCGTTTGTTCGATTGCTTTAATCTGCTCATCCTACCGCCCCATGAGCTGCAAGGTTTCGAGGACCAGCCGAGGTAACTTACAATCATACGATCGTACATCTGGTACATTCGGCGATGTTGTTTTTCTAATAAACGATGGAAGAAAGCTTTGCCTGCATCTTCCACTTCTTGCAGAAGACGTTCAAGACTGAATATCATCCCGGGAAGTTGGCTGTATTCGTAGTCAGATTAGCATTCCAATCATCGTGCCCGACTCACAGATTATCGCGCCGCATCGCGGCTTCCACCCATAGCTTCAGCTCACCAGGTAAGAACCCAAAGATTAGGTCCATGCCTTCCCGAACCAATTTGATTGTCCCTGGACTAAGGCTGGCATACTTAGCAGCCTGTCGTCGATAGTAGTTCTCCAATTTCATGTAATCCGAAAATGTCAGTGAGAAGTCGTTGATTTGCAAGAAGTCGGCTAAGAATTCTTCTTCTCGAGAGATTTGGGTTGAGATCTGATTGAGGGCTCGGGTAAACGCGTCTGCTGCTTTTAGTTCTCCATTTGCAGGCTCCTTTTCTCGTTTTCGGTCGAGTGGGGACCGGAGGGTGCCCATACGACGTACAGACATTCCAGCCGTTTGCGGTACCTCGGCAGAAAAATCTATGAGAAGCGGTGAGATGCCTTTAACCAGTGTTGAGCAGCATCACGCACTATCGTCATCCACGCCTTTTCGAATTCTTGCGACGAGCAAAGGTAAAAACGTCTTCATCTCCTTCATATGAAGTGTGTTCGAAGCAGTAAAGTACGCCTGAAAGATGGTTAGAGTGGGTTCTTGCAGGATGTAAAAGCACGTACTGCGCAAACCTGGGAATAACGATCCTCGTCCATTTCCTTCAAATAAAGCATCAAACCGCAGTATCGGCCAAGATAGTCTTCCATAGGTTGGTGTGAAGATAGCTTTGGTCGTGCCTTGTCCATCACACGATCCTTATCATTAAGGAGCCTATCGGACTGATGGAGAATCAGGTTTATCCTGCGATGGTGATATGAAGGACAGACCTGAAACTGGAACATGATAGTAAGAAAATCAGATATACGTTTGCAGAACTGGCTGTTGTGAGTCTGATATTCCTGCAGACGTTCCATAGTTGCCGCCATTTCTGAAGAAGGGTAAACAACCAAACAACCACTACAGAAGTAGACCACACCATTTTCACGCCCGGCTAGAAGTGCCTTGTACAACTCAGCAGCAGCCTTCTCCAGATGTGTGATACCCGCAGGCTTCTCAAGAGACTCCTGCGTGAGCGCAACCAACGCTTCCCTATCGACGTCGACGGTTTGCTGCACAAGTGATGAGCCAGACTCGTCCGGGGTACAATAGTCACAGACGAACCAGTAGCTGCTCGAGCTCTCCCAGGAGCGCTCGTTGATTCTGAGTTTGTACTTGTAACCCACGATTTTGAGACTGAATAAAGCTGATGTCGTCGCTCACACCCTAGATGTCGGTTAGCTACAATCAGTCAGCATGAAAACTTGAGTTGGGCTTACATTCAGTTGAATCTTGTATGACTGTACCATCATTTCCATATCATCTAGTTCTCGGATCGCGTCATCCAGGAAACCCATGACCAGCTGTATGCGGTCGTCGGATTCGACGAAAGAGTGGACGTTCGCCTATTGGGAGGATCAGCATATGCTCAGGTTACAGAGCGACAATGCTCACCTTTTCCAACGCCAAAAGCTCATCCATAAGCCTCGCTTCCATCATATCCGCCGCACCACCTTTCTTCTTCCCCTCTCCCACAGGACCCATGGACCACTCATATCCATCTAGCAGTTCCTCCACGTTGGCCAACGTAGCTTCTCCGTCCTCTCTCGGTAGTATTCCCTCGCCTTCTTCTGGGACATTCATTGACAATAGCCGTTCTAGCGTCGCTTGATTCGCTGGGTCGAATACGGATATACGAGAGACAGATGTCTCTTTACGTGACGTTGTCCGTTCCTCGGGTTGTTTAGCTGGTGATGCCGCACGTGTTGTCGAGGCGCTGTACACTGGGGTAGCCAGTTGGGAGCCACTGGCTGATACGGAAAGTCCCGGCTCAAGAGGTCGGGATGGCGTGGGGGCACGACGGTCTCCCGGAGTGGGAGCGCGCCGCATGTCTGGAGTTGCTGAGCGAGAACCGGTGTCTATGGACGGTCTTGAAGGATTGCGTGGCATTGCTGGTCGAGATGACCCGACTTCATCGTACAACTGCTCGCGCGATGGAGCCTTCGGCATAGGAGGTCGACCATAACCATTTTCTTGGAACGGTCGCGAGCCTTGTCGAGAGCTAGACGGCTGTGCGGTCTGCGGTTCGTCCACCGACCGTCGACCATTGCGGGATGCCGATCGCTGACTGCTCGTATCATCAATCGACGGACGAGCTCGGCGACTAACGGCTGAGGAAGTAGCATCCTGAGATGGAGTACCAAATGCGGGAGAGGGACTTGCACGAGAACTGTATGAAGACGGTGCGGTAGGATACTGAGGGATTTGTAGGGCGATCAGCGCGTTGCGAGAATCTGGAAATGCAGGGCTTTCCGCTCTGAGCGATGACGGTGGAGGAGGACGATATTGTTGCCGACTCGGAGGGCCGGCGGACACGGAGCCGTTCATGCCTGAGGCATAGCTGCTATTCGAAACTTGACGCTCACCGCCCAAAACAGGACGCATTGAAGGAGATGCAGCGGAGGTGGAGAATTGCGGACTGGCGGAGCGTGCGGAGCTACGCTCATCTAAGGATGAGCGTCCATTAGCTAGAGAGTATACGTCGTTAACGCCATGGATACGAAGGGAATTGTCGTGCAAAGAACTAACGTACATTGCGACTGTTGCCCTATACCCACGCCAACAATGGTTAGGGGCCTCCCTCCGGTTACTCGTCGGTATGAGTCGATGACAGCACTTAAGAACAACGCTTGATCACGCTCGTTGATAGTGGTCCATTTATATCGACGAGAGAACTTGAGTGAAAAGGAGATGGCCTGTTCGTGATAAGTACGTCATGTGTACTTCATCCAACACGTATTCGTACCGTATGTGCCTCAACTGCCTGCAACTCCTCAAGCTTCCACGTCTTTCCAACGGAGAATGTCCCGTTGCTGTTCTCCTTTGACTTATGTACCAGACCTTGACCGCTTCGATTGACTGGCATGCAAGTGAGTATGTCCATCCCTGCCCATGCTTTCGGTAATGCTCACTAGATAACAGCAACCACCGCGTCTTTGCCTCTGTTTCGCCAGCGACAACCTCTTGGATTAGGAGATGTGCGATGTAGGTCTCGTCGAGGGATCCATCAGCATACTGCTTCGAGAACAGTGACCTGATTATTGCTTCTCGTATGTTCTCATTATCAGCCATTGTTTATCAAGGTCATATGAGTTAGTTGTGGTGATACTTGAGCCGCATACAGGAGATCTGCTGGGCAAGAATGGCAATGAGTATTCTGTGTATGGGCCGATGATGGCTTCTGAACACTTTCCCGCACAGGAGGTCGTGACCCTGATGAGGCCTCATCGCCACACTACCTAATAAGGCAACTGTCACGTGCTCCAAAGAGAGAAGGATGTCCGAGAGGGGTGACACATCTGCGTCTACAGACTGTTTATTATACCAGTCCCTGATCTCAGTGCATCAAATCTTACTTGGGACTTGGTTGAGACTCGCTTCTGAGGAGTATCATTTCAAAGGCTCGACCCACGTGCCACAGCGCTAAGGTGGCCAAACCGAGGTGCACCCCTGTGGCCCTTTGCAGTTGGCCGGTGGAGAATTTTGACCAATCACTTCTATAAAGTTGCAAAGATCCCATAAGACGCTATCAATAGTATTAGCAAGGTGGTATATATAGGGCACTTTAACTCCAGAATAGGCGGCAAGAATGCCATGGCAACGCTTCTGAGGCTTGTGGGCGTATCTCATCACTCGAGGAAATCACTGACCTTACTTGCGCGGCACGTGTTTTGCCGCGCTCTTTGAAAATTCTTCAAAGCGTCTCTCAGTTACTCTTCACCTGCGTTGCCGTTTAATTCTGTTCACACAACATCAAAGGCAAGGGAAAGCACGCGTCACCTATCGGTCTTTCATCCGGTTGATTCAGCCTCTGATCAGAATTTCAACACCAACCACACCACAGACACCAAACCGGTATGGATGCAGAATCCCGTACGGCAAAAGAGCTGGGCGATCAACTCACCGCCAATTTAGAGGAGTGCGCAAAACGACCTGAGCTAATTTGGGTGGCAAGATTTTTCGTGAGTCACTCAATATCGAACTTTCCGGAGGTTACTCACAATATGCAAGTGAACAAGAACCCATATGCTCCGGTGGATGGCGTTGTACGACTAGAACCGCCCCCGTCGACACGCTTTACGACCAAACTGTACAACTCTGCTTTTATCTACCAATACGCTCTGGACCGTCGTCGCTTTACGTTAGACGAAGCGCGTGTCCTCTCTCTGATCGAGCTTTCTAAGATCCAGCGAGATCCTGGAGACTACGGTATCAGCTCGAAAGGGCCGTATGATATCGACTGGGCACTGGCCTGTGAAGAGCCTTTCCCGGGGATCCGGGAAGCGGTGGACACCGATGACGATTCTGGATATGAGAGCCCGGCTGTGCCCAATGGAGATAACGAATCTGAGTCATCAACTCCTGACTCTGGCAGCAACATAAATGGTATGGCGCTCGCATATGTTATGCGTTCCCAACCGGAAACGATGAGAGCATGGGTCTCCCAGCTCGGGATGATTCTCCATATTTTTGAGTGCAGACCAGATCCCGCAGCAAACACGCTTTAAGATCTGAGACGTGTATGTAGATTTCACTATTTGGCGTGCCACAGAAGCTGATCGGATACAGGTGGACTGCGAAGCCGTGAGCTTGTGCTTAGATATTCTCAAAGAAATCGGGGCTGCAGCGTTCTATATCCGTCAATTTGCTGATATTTCTGAAGTGAGTACCGGAAGTCTTGATCACAATACCGCACTGATTTCCGGTCAGAGACTGAATCTGCTTCATGCTTTGGAGAGGTTAGCAGAGAGCTCCGCGCCTATTCTACAAATAGACGCTGGGACACTGATCCGGCGCACGATGCAAGTGACAGAGTCCTTGAGGGATACACAGGAAGAATGGAAGGAATCTGAAACGGTTGAACAACTAGATCCCTTTTGAACTCGAGGAATGCCCTGAGGAGGTGGTTGTGCGGGGATAAGATGGATATGATCTTTTCCTAGTGGCTATGATTTCTCAATTTGGTATGTCGCCAAATAGAAACTTGCTCCCGCGTCTTCTTCGGCCGGTCGCTGCATGGGCTCACAGTTCCCCCAATCCTCCCTTAAATATCAAATCGCCTTCTCATCCTGTTGCTGGCCATACCTTTATCTGCTCACTACCTTCTTGAGTTCTTCCATTCACTATGGCTACTTTTAGTTTGTTTGCTATGGGCAATCCCCTGCTCGACATTCAAGTCACGGAGGGCGAGCCTCTGCTCGAGAAGTACGGTCTAAAGCCGAACGACGCTGTGCTTGCCAACGAACAGCAACTGGCTATGTGCGCATATATGCACCTAAATCCTGTTTGGATCTCACGGCCCTGAACAGCTACGATGACATTGTCAAGAACTGGAAGGTCACCTATGTCGCTGGTGGTGCCGCTCAGAACGCTGCTCGCGCTGCCGCTGTATGCCCTTAGACATTCCTCGTCCCATCGTCTTGCTGACCTGGCGTATGTAGTACGTTCTTCCGGAGAAGTCTGTCATGTACACCGGCTGTGTTGGCGAGGATGAGCTTGCGGATCAACTTCGCGCCGCCAACGCGAAGGAGGGTGTCGAGAGCGCATACCAGGTCGCCAAGGGTCAGCGGACAGGCGCATGCGCCGTCGTCATCACCGGTCACCACCGGTATGTTGAAGTGACTCTTGTTATGAACTTCTTGTTGACTTGGGTTACAGGTCGCTCTGCACGACGCTCCAGGCCGCCGAGTCATTCACCCCTTCTCACTTGTCGTCTCCCGAAATTGCTCCTCTTATCCAGAACGCCAAGTTCTTCTATGTTGGGGGCTTCTTCTTGACGCATGGTGTCGAGTCTGCGCTCGAGCTCGCCAAGCACGCGAGCAATGCCGGCAAGGTGTACACCCTCAACCTCTCTGCTCCCTTCATCCCTCAGTTCTTCAAGGCCCAGCTCCAGCAGGTCCTACCATACGTTGACATCTTGTTTGGCAACGAGAGCGAAGCCGCCTCCTATGCGGAGGCCAACGGCCTTCCGGTATGTGTAAAAGTTTGTGACTCGTGTGCCGTTCTAATACCATTGTACCAGACCAGCAGCGTTGCGGACATCGCGCAGGCTTTCGCGAATCTTGACAAGGCGAATCCCTCCCGTCCTCGCCTGGTAGTCATCACTCAGGGTGCAGAAAGCACGATTGTTGCCTCTTCCACCGACCAGACGCCAAAAGTCTTCGCCGTGCAGAAGCTCTCCGCAGAGCAGATCGTGGATACCAACGGTGCTGGCGACATGTTCGCCGGAGGCTTCTTGGGTGCCTATGTCTCTGGCAAACCCCTCGAGGAGTGTGTCGAGACTGGCCATGCCCTGGGTGCAATGTGCGTCCAGCAAGTAGGGCCGACGCTCAAGTTTCCCAAGGTGAAGATATTCTGAGTGTTTTCATTTGATCTGGGAGATAAGGGCATTCTCATCAATCGCTTTCATCTTTTCTGTTATTCTTGGGACCACTAGTCGTGAGCATCACCTGCTGCATTCGCTTCAACCGCATTGCACTCGCATTCAACTGCATAGGAAGTTTGTTGTAATAGATCAAGTAACGTAAACGTCAGAAATAGAACCATACCGTGTGACACAATGACGTTCGTTGCTTTGGTTTTCTGTCTTGGTGCTTCTCCGTTAGGGACAAATTTCAATGAGATTCGCGTTTGATCGGTGGTTACACAAGCAAGTAAGAGCTGATCACAAAATGCAAGCAAGCATGGAATGCACAGCAAACCAAGAAACCCAAAAAAGAAAGAAAGAGCATAGGGAGATATCGACGTAGAGTCCAAGTTCGTCATGCATCATATCGACGTGGAGCCTAAGCTTCGTTATACAACATATCGACATCCTCGTCCTTGGGAATTGGATTTTTCCTTGGACGGCCCCTTTTCCTCGGTACGTTCGTTGTCGCACGAGGTTTTTGCAGGATCGGGCTGCTCTCCGATACCTTGTGTTCACGAGCTGGGGAAGGCGGCCCGTCGCCAGCCCCGTCGTGTCGGTTCGACCCCTTCATATACGCCGGTCGACCCATAGGTGTGTACCACTTTGTGCCGCCATCCTCCTCCGGCGTGAAGAATTTGATTTCGTAGTCCGTCCCATTCTTGCAGGCGACAATATCGTAGCGATCGTCGTAGGAATCTATCACCTTGACGATCTCGGCCACCTTGTTGTTCGCCCTTGATTTGAGTACGAGCGCATCCATAGGACGTGGCACTGGCGTTGGCGTGAAATGCTCCCACTTTTCCGCCTTTCTGAGCTCTGTCATGAATCGCATATGTTGGAGATTTGGATCCGTGAACTCGGCAGGTGTGAGTTGGCCGCAGTTAGTCCGTTCTCGCATATGTCGACCGTACGCAAAGCCGCGAGTGAAGATTTTGCCACACCTTTCACACTGGCCAAAAGTAGCGTCAAACCTAGCGAAGACCATGTTGTCATTCTGTCCAAGTTTCTGGCGCAGCCACTCCATGTATAGGTGCTTCATGCGATGGCGCCTGGATTCAACCTCGCCGCCACTGAAGCTAGCGCACGTCTCGAATGGATTGCTCGGATTCGGATAGCCGCACATTCGAAGGACTACAGGCGTGGCGTGCCCAACTTCGGAAGGAGCAGGCGCCTTCGACTTCGCCTTGGCTGATTTCGACTTCGGTGGTTTAGGTTCCTCGTGAGTCTCCCATGGGCTGGTCTTGGCTTTAGTGGATCCCCCTCCGGTACTATCTGCGTTCGAATGCGTGGCAGGACTGGACTGCGATTTTGTGATTATTAGATACCCTTTCGTACTTGGCAACGGCTTTTCAAGTTCCCAGGACGTCATGAGTGGGTGAGTCCATGGTGCTTCAGCAGATACGAGGTCGGCGAGTGGAATCTCGGTGAAAGCTGCCAGTCTCGACTTGAATGTAGCTGACAGTGTCGCCTTCTGTTTAAGAGTGGAGGCGTACGTGCTGTTGGAGGTGGCTAAGAGATAAGCGTCTTCCTCATCCGAAGGCGGAGGCGTAGTTAAGTCAGATATAGGAGAAAGTGCTCGTGGCGGGCTGCTGGAGTCCGCTTTTCGTTCACCATGAGACGCAACTTCAGTTTCTTCGTCTGTGTGGCCAGAAGTCTGCTGGACAACGGTCACATCCATCTCCATGTCAGTGTCGAGCTCTTCCTCACTTTCAAGCTCTTCGGGCCGGGCAGAAACAACTTTGCGCTTGATTGGCTGTCGGGTGATATATGTCAACAGTTCTTTCGATGTTCTCTTTGTCGAAATAGATTTCCTGCTTCCAGAACCTTGCAGATTTTCACGGGAAGATGACAAAAGAGTAGTTACCACTCCCGGACTCTGCGAGCCATTCAGTGTGGCCTGCAAGCCTGGGATAGGTGGCGGCAAGAAGGGACTCTTAATAGGTGTGGTAGACATCCCGGCCATGTCTTCCTCAAAGTCGATCTTGGCGACTGCATGCTGGAGAGCTTTGCTGGGCTTTGCCCGGAGAAAAATAGGAGCCTGTGCCCATCCACCTTGATTTACATCCGTCAGAGATGAATATCTGTCTGTAAATTAGTATTCTGCATACCATTTTTCTTCCTTTCTTTGGAAGAGCTAAAGCTGTCAGTAGAGGAGAGGGTATTGGCGATTGTGACATCCATGTTGCACAACAACTTATTGGCCACCTCTCAGCAAACATGGATTCACCAAGAAAACTGCCACTTACTATACGGCTGATGGTAAGCAATATCCGTGGTATGTCTGGGTGGTAGTGGGGAGATGGGGAAGAGGACAAGAGGGGTATAAAATGGGCCTGTTGAAAGAGGCGACGCCGCGGCGTGTGGCCAAGAAACGTGGGCTCAACTCGCTGGACCCCGGTGCGCGGAAGCTGTCTCCGGAATCAAACTCATGCTTCTTTTGGGGACCTTGATGGGAGTTGCTATCTTTGGACGGCCTTCACAACGAGGCGCGGAGCACAGACTATGCAGCACGACTGGCGTATTTCCCCACGATTCACCACTCATCGCCGGACACGTATTCTTCTCATTTTTTCCACAAAGATCTCTCAGCCACGCATCCAGGAAAATACGCCCCAGAATTGTGGCAGGAAGCTAGTCCGGGGGTTCTACCACAATTTTTCGGCACAGCAATTCACATCTGTGCATCTCGTCATGGACATTGCGGAATTATCCCTGTTCCATTCACCCGGTGGCAATGCCAATTTTGCATCTTCTGATGTATTCTTGATGAAGCCACTCGCTGTACGTGCTGTACGTGTCACCACCCCTTTGCATGACGACAATATTTCTCAGTGTCCAAGCTATATATCCTATCACAGAAGACATGTTGCGCAAAATTCACCACGCCCATTACCTCCTTTCGTTAACAGCCCCCTTTTTTTTCTCCATATTCGTCAAAAGTCATTTCCCTAGCCAGAGGTGCCAGACAGCGATTTTTGCCTTCAGAGCAGGCCTTATATAGAGAACAGCATATGCTGACATACGGTGTTCGCGCTTATCATGGGTCGCTGGACAAAGAATGGATCCTCAAGCACGAGAAACTAGTATGCTGCACATGGTTTCTTACTCTTTTCACCCTGACAGTGTTCATCATCTTCCCGTTTCCAAAAATCAGCATGAACACGTATTTTCCTGATAGGTCTAGAAAACTCACTGTTTGGTCATTGCAGAAGAAAGGCCAGGTGGCCAATTTGCGACGTGCAAGCATCGGCTGAACGAACGCCACTGCATCCCAGAGAGTACTGCACCCAAGGACGGTATTCAGTGGGACGGGCGGTTCTCTTGACTGTGTTTGTATTATCTAGAGCCTCATAAACGTAGGGAAAGCCCTTGTCTGCCAGTGGCATGAACCTGAAAAGAAAAGACGTGCCGGAAATGTACACCTTTCTAAAGGGAATAGCCAAAATCACGGTACAAATAAGAAAGAAGGTTTAACATCCGAAGAAATCAAGCAGCTCGATGAATTGACAACCCCGTGCATTCATTCAACCCACTGAAACTGGCTTGCACAGCAGAGGGCTTATGCCCACCATCACGGTATGGGCTGATCATTGGAAGCAATATGTTGTACTGGGCCACGGAAAGCACACGGGAACAACTGTAAGCAATGCATGCTCTTACTAAGCGCTGTGTATAAAGTTGTGCGGTTCGTGCGCTTTTTGCGCGGGTCAAATACAGAAAATGATGGAAAAGAAGGTTAAGAAAAGCGCCAGACAGAGCACTGATTATAACAGACAAAAGGAGCAAATGATGGAGTTGGAAAATAACAAGTCCGCAGAGGGATGGCACTAAGAGAGAAGTGGTTGATTCAATACTTACGATGAAACGTTGGACGATGCCGGGGTTCGGCTCCGAGACCTCCGGACTCATGTCTCTCCGGAGGCGCCTCCGTTCAATCGGCCCGTCGCTACCCCCTGAGAATCGTCCCCAGAAACTGATCTTGGCCGCCACAACTATGATTCATTAATTTATGACTATCGATCAAGAGATACCGACTGTGGAGTTGGAAGTGGATAGGCTATAACAAGGTGCGTCATGTCCCAGAACTCCATCGACCACCTCGTTGACACCTTTGCAGACTCATGGAACGAGAAATCAGCATCTTCAAGTCGCGTCGGAGCTCTGTCGCTACGTCGTCGAGCTCGAAGCCGTCTCTAGTCGGCCAGTCAGAAGAGGGTACAAATATTCCAAATGGACGCTCCATCACCGACGTGCTTATTGTGGACGTACTGGAGCTCATCCTCGCCATGATCGACGAGATGTACTATGACGGCTTGATTTCCCGACTAGACATACTGTCCCTCGCCAAGTCATGCAAGTACTTTCATGCTTCGGCGAACCCGTTGATATATCGGACAATCACTTTTGATTGCCATATGAACAAGGCCATATACGAGAAATCCTGGTCCTGTTGCAACAGCTTGGCGAAGCGTCCGCACCTGGCCCAGCTCGTTCGAATTTGCATTATCAAGGACAGCTACGACTTCTGGGATGGACTTGATCATTTTCCGAAACAGTGGAAGTCTGTGATTATACCCGCACTCACGAATATGGTCAATCTACGAGAGCTGCGTTGGCAGAGGACGTCTTTTTCGCCTGCGCTATGGAAACTGGTCGGTTCGATGGAACATCTCGAGTCCTTGCACCTTCAACAATGCAGCGTTCGCACCCCACCCTCTCGGAAGTCAAAGAAGAATAACGAAGGGCCGGAGATACCATGTTTCCCGAGTTTGCGCAATCTCACTCTGACGGACCTCAATATGCGACATGGGGATGATGAAGTAGTACTCGGGTTGATTGACGATATCCTGGGGTCAAACCGGTCGCTCTCAATTGGAGCGAACAAGCCAATATTTTGGAGACACATACAGGACCATATGCCTGATCCGATACGCCTCAAACGGCTTTATATGCTGGATGTTGGCTCGGAGATGACGTTATCTCCCGAGCTCGTTTCAAGCATACTGCAGCAGACGACAGAGCTCACGGAGCTCATGGTCTATATCCACAGCGAGACGCTCGACACTGTTATGCAACTTTTACCCAAAGACGCTCTGCCTGAGCTCAGTGTCTTCTCCGGCAATCCTGCTGTGGCGAAAGCACTTGTCCCAGGCCGTGCTGTGCATACGGTTTGCTTGAACGCCGCTGCGCCATCCGTGCCGATCGGACCGCTTGCATTCTTGCCTGACCCCGGCTTGAATCTCGTCGGGTATCTCGCGTCGCTGGAGAGTCTACAATTGTCCACCGTGCAGATCGTGCACTTCGACTTGTTGCTTCCCGACTTCGAGACGGCGTACGAGATGCCGATCATGCAACAGCTGCCCGATTTCCTCCCTCATTTGCGGATCCTCGCTGTGCATGGCCCGTATAATGGTGCTGTTAACAATAATGTACGTCTTCGAAGAGTCAAAGAGTGGTGTGCGTGGCTGACGAGTGTAACAGAGACTGACGGAAGCCGTCGGCTTGTTTGTCATGGGTCGACTGCCCTATCTAGAAGACTTTTCCTTCCACGTGAACTACCTTCGATATCGGTCATCGCCCGGTTTCAATCTCCGATGGCAGCACGACCTGATCATGGAATGGTCCAAACTTTGCCCGACACTCTCCGTCGTTCAGATTTCATCGGTTATACACTGGCTACGCTCGGTTGGCCAATGGCAGCCCGCACTGAAAGGTCGAGACGCCTGGACACGTCTAACAGAAGGGATCCAATGGCTCACGAGTAGTAATAAGGATCTGATGGAGTATGACTGGAACGGTACATTGGCAGGATGGCTTGGGGATCGGAGGTGGAGAGTGAGAGATACAGGAAAGGAGCCTGCGGTACTGAGGACCCTCCAGGCTGCGGTCCAGAGGGTGTCTCTCCGGAACCGGGTGAACAATCAACGGTCTGTTGTCGCCGATGCACTTGCCGAAGGGTCCAGGATGAAGGACAGCGGAGCGGAGTCGGCGGATCGTGCCCGTTTTCGATGATAGCAACCAGCATGGGGCGCGACGAACGTGCAGTCACAGTGATCGATACCCACAACCATACCTTATGACTGTGGGCGTCAAGACCTGGGTTAGGAGGGAGCAGTGATATATCAAGGGTCAAGGGTGCTATGATGTGCTTTGAGTAAGCCCGGCCGTCGATAGAGTTGACCGGCTCAGCCTATCGGTGTTGGTATGGGTATCCATAGTTTCTCTTCGGGCCTGGTTCGATACGCAGTTGCAACTGCCAGTCTAATTCGGAATACGCTCGTAATGATGACATGGCGTGACATTGAAGCAATATTTGGTTGCATTAATGCCTCGGATTTCAACGATGGCTTCGACGGCTGCGGGACAATAGGGGACTGGCTAACCCGACGAATCCGTTGCACGGCTGGAATGCCCTGGAAGGAACCCGACGGAAGCAGATGCGCAGCCTCCCCATTAAGCGGGGTATATAAGCCAACTACGCCGCTTGTCCCCGTTTCATCTCCCCCTGTCTCGCACAACCACCCCCAGATACATCGTCCTCCTCAACAAGCACTCTACAACCACTATCAACCATGCAGATCTTTGTGAAGACTCTTACTGGCAAGACCATCACTCTCGAGGTCGAGTCCAGCGACACCATTGACAATGTCAAGGCTAAGATCCAAGATAAGGAGGGGTGAGTCAGCCACATCTACCACAGGTAACGCATATATTGACCTATTGTCTGTAGCATTCCCCCCGACCAGCAGCGCCTGATCTTCGCTGGCAAACAGCTTGAGGATGGCCGCACCCTGTCGGATTACAACATCCAGAAGGAGTCGACGCTCCACCTCGTCCTCCGTCTTCGTGGTGGTATGCAGATCTTCGTCAAGACTCTGACCGGCAAGACGATCACTCTTGAGGTCGAGTCGAGCGACACTATCGATAACGTCAAGGCCAAGATTCAGGACAAGGAGGGTATTCCTCCTGACCAGCAGCGCCTTATCTTCGCTGGGAAGCAGCTTGAGGATGGCCGCACCCTCTCCGACTACAACATCCAGAAGGAATCCACCCTTCACTTGGTTCTTCGTCTCCGTGGTGGCATGCAGATCTTTGTGAAGACCCTGACCGGCAAGACCATCACACTCGAGGTTGAGTCATCGGACACTATCGATAACGTCAAGGCCAAGATCCAGGATAAGGAGGGCATTCCCCCTGATCAGCAGCGTCTCATCTTCGCCGGCAAGCAGCTGGAAGACGGTCGCACACTCTCGGACTACAACATTCAGAAGGAGTCAACGCTTCACCTTGTGCTTCGTCTCCGCGGTGGTATGCAAATCTTCGTCAAGACGTTGACGGGAAAGACCATCACGCTCGAAGTCGAATCGTCGGATACCATTGATAACGTCAAGGCCAAGATTCAGGACAAGGAGGGCATCCCTCCCGATCAGCAGCGCCTGATCTTCGCCGGCAAGCAGCTCGAGGACGGTCGCACCCTTTCCGACTACAATATCCAGAAGGAGTCTACCCTTCATCTCGTGCTGCGTCTCCGTGGTGGTATGCAGATTTTCGTGAAGACTTTGACTGGCAAGACGATCACTCTCGAAGTCGAGTCCAGCGACACCATCGACAATGTGAAGGCGAAGATCCAGGACAAGGAGGGTATCCCTCCCGACCAGCAGCGTCTTATCTTCGCTGGCAAGCAGCTCGAGGATGGCCGCACTCTGAGCGACTACAACATCCAGAAGGAGTCCACGCTGCACCTTGTCCTTCGTCTCCGTGGTGGGCAGTGAGCGTCTTCGCTGTCTGAGCAGGGATTCTCCATTGTATGCATCCGTCACGCTGTAGGTTGGGTAGGATTGGTCTGAAATAAATAGACATCCTGTCATGTAACAAACAATAACATCCATCGTGTTCAACATTGTGTCCACTTGTGTGATTGGTCTGTACCGCCCAGAACGCAGAGCCCGAGCGGCACAACGTAAGGACAAACGATGACCCGCGGGGGAACGTCCTCCCTGGCGGTGGTCCCCTGATGTCCACACCATACAGGATCAACATTCTCTTGCCTCATTTATAATGTGGAGAGGGCGTAGGATGTGCTGGGCATCCTCGACCTCCCGACTCTTACTCTGTCGCCTGTATCTACCCAGCTTGCTGCTATCTGCCTAGAGTTCGAGTGAGGGAACATGACTGCGCTCAACATCACCGACGAAGACCTACTGAAGCTCAAGGGGAAAGTGACGATCCTCACCGGTGCGTCGCCTTCTCATACCATTGCATTGCATATCATACCAGTCAACAAACGCCGATGACCCCTCGTAGGCGGCTCAGCCGGTATCGGACTCGCCACCTCCAAGCTCTTCTCCGCAAACGGTGCGATCCTATACATCGGCGACCTGCGCCCTCCGCCCCCCTCCGTCCTCCTTCCAGGATCCACGTTCCTCAAAACGGACGTGACGCGCTGGGAGGACCTGCTCTCCCTCTTCCACCGCGCGTGGGAGGATCATGGACGTATCGATATCGTGCTCCCTAATGCTGGTGTGGGGGAGATAGAGGACATGTTCGCGGACACGCTCGACGCGGACGGGAAGCTAGAACGTCCGAAGTACAAGGTGCTGGATATCAACCTCGGGGGCGTGCTGGACTGCGTGAAGATCGCCGTGTATCATATGAAGAAACAGCAGGAAGGTGGGAGCATTGTCATGACCGGGAGCACGGCGAGTTATCTGGGAGAACCGATCCCGCAGTATACGACTGCGAAGCATGGGGTGCGTCGCGGGTTTCCCTTCTATGCGTGTTGGAGGCGCGGCTGATTAGCGTCGGCGTGGATGTGCGTGTGCGTGTTGTAGCTGCTCGGGCTGATGCGCGCTACGAAGAAGAATCTGCTCAAGCACGGAATCACGATCAACCTCGTCTGTCCATGGATGACCGAGTCCAACCTCATGTTCGATTCTCTCCGTGAAGCGCTCATCAAGCACCACATCCCGATCAACGACCCCACCTCGATCGGCAAAGCCCTGGCTTACAGCGCCGTCTCTGGGCAGGACTGGACGGGGCGGACGATCTATGTTGCTGATAATACGTTTACGGAGATCGAGAGCAAGGTGCAGGAGCTGGAGCCGGGCTGGTTGGGAGAGAAGAACGCGAGGGAGTTTAGGGAGGCGGAGAAGGTGGATTATTTTGGTGATGACCAGCCGCAGCCGGGGAATTGGACAGAGTGAGGGAAGAGGATGGGGCTCATACTTGAAGGTAATGAGGTACGCAGTCTAGCTGAGTGGGAGTACAGATGGAATATGGGTACATAAAATTCATTCTTTAGCTTCTTTACAAGCACGTCGTGTTCCCCCTCTCCCTACGCCTTCAACCACTTTGCATGAACTGCCAGTAGAGGCGCCGTCAGCTCCATCCCTTACAAAAAGAAAACACTCACAAGCAACATGTTCCTCCGCAAAGCTCATAATAAAATAATAACTATGATCATATCCTTCCCTCTTCCTCCCCTGCACTCCCTCCACTCCCAACTCCTTCACCTTGTTCAAAAAGTTCTCTGGCAACAGCTGGCCAGAGAGGTAGAACTCGTCCGCGTCCCCCCAGTCGAACAGGATCCTCAGTCCCTCCTTCACCCGGCTTAGCCCAAGGAGCTCAGTAGCGTCCCACTCCTTGCCTTCCTCCACCCCTCCCTTCAAGTACCCAGCAAACGCCTTCTTCCCCCAAGGGCACAGCCTAGGGTTGGTAATAGGCGCAAAAGCGCTACAGGACCTGTACTGCCCGCTCTTGAGGTACAGCGTGAGCGCGCCATGCCCGCCCATCGAGTGGCCCATTATCCCCTGTCTCTCCAAATCCAAGGCCAACCCGGTTTCCCGCAACAGCTCAGGCAGTTCATGCGTCACGTATGTGTACCCCTGGTAGGCAGCATACGAAGGGTGGGAAGCGTCGATATAGAACCCGGCGCCGGTGCCAAAGTCCCATGAAAGGGTGTCGTTAGGGCTGTTAGAGCCCCGGGGGGAAGTATCGGGGAAGACGAGCGCGATGCCGTGTTTCGCAGCGGGGGACTCGAAGGTGCCTTTCATCGCTCTGCCAGCCGGCGTCAACAGCTATCCCTACTGCAGTGGAGGGAATGGGGGGTACCCACCCGGTATCTTCGTCACATGTCAGCCCGGCAAGATAGTACAACACCGAAAAGGGGCCTTCTCCCTCGGGGACGAAGACATTAAACTTTGTCTCGAGGCCGTAGGACTCTGACTGCGGGCGGGGAAGTTAGCGCTAACGTGGGGCATCGAAGAAAGGGGGACGGACGTGAGCGCTGAATTTTGTGAGATGGCCGGAGAAACATTTGTTGGTTTTTACTTTGGTTACGGGCATGTTTGGGAGGAGAGATGGGGCTGACGATTGCAAGGTGGAAGTGACGGTTGACAGTTAACAGCAGGAGAGGTGGGCATGTATCAACCAGCAATCACACAAGTCCGAGGAGTGGACAAAGGGATGAGTGGAGGTCCAACGTATATGTTTCATCCCGGTAAAGTGAACACGCGACGTCATAGACAATGAGGAGACAATGCGAACCCTGAACAACATTTTCAGGCATTACCACAGTCATACAATACACAACACAACACCACCTCTTACGCACGCTATTCCTGCTTCTCAAACTGCCTCATAGCCCAAATCATCAGCCTCTCCGCCCCTCCCTCTCCCAAAACGCCCACCACAGCTGCCTGCAGCCCATGCATCCAGTAAGGGAACACGACCCTCCTTGTACCGCCGACGACTCTCACCGCTCCCCGGGCATACTCTTCTGCCGAAGGAACGGTCAGAGACCGCCTCATCACCCCCGAAGAGTTTAGCACTGTAGCGGTTTGCAGGTAGTGGACTTTGACTTGGGACCCGGAGATCCGCTCGTCCAAGTCTAAGGCATGCGTAAACCGGTCGAGAAAGGCCTTGCTCCCCGCATAAGCGGCAAAATGCGGCGGAGGGATCACACCTGCCATGCTACCCACGTTGAGTAGGAGCGTGGGGTAGGGCTGGCGCAGGAGGGGGAGGAGGGTGTGCGTGAGCCAGAATGGGAAGAGGGCGTTGATGTGCACTGTTCGGGTCACGTCGGCCAGGGGCTGTTGGTCGAACCTGCGCATACGTAGCGGGGTTAGTGAGTTCGGGTGCGGGGGAAGGGGGAAGGAGGACGCACGAGAGCGTTTGAAGCTTGGACCCGCCGACGTTGTTCACCAGTACGGTGATCTCCAGCTGCTCGAACCTCTTTCTCACCGCGGGCCAATCGACGTCTTCAGCTGCGTCCTGCACCCAGAGGAGGACGTCCTTCCCCTTCCCCTTTTTCTTTTCCTTTTCCTTTTGCAGGGCGAGGATCTCTTCCCTGACTTTCGCTAGCTTTGGGGGATTCCGCCCGTGGAGGATGATGTTGAACCCCCATTTTGCGAATTCGAGCGCGAGGGCACGGCCGATCCCGTCTGAGGCGCCTGTGATGAGTGCGTAGGAGTGGGGGGAATGGAGGTACAGGGGGAGAGAGGGTTGTCGGAGGTGGGAATGGAGGAAATAGAGTGTGCGGATTAGGTGTGGGAGGAGGAGGAGGGCGAGGAGGAGGAAGAGGATGAGTTCTGTTTGGGTTGACATGGGACTTGGGGGGATTGGGAGGGAGAGGGAAGGGGAGTGGGGTACATGGCCGGGAACGGGGATGGAGATGAGATTAATATAAGGTGTTTAGAGTTCAGAGTCGGAAAGAGAGGGCGCACAAGGGACGAAAAAGGGACAGAGAAGCATATTTCGGTTGCAGAGAAGCATTTGGGGTTAGCTGATACCGGCGGTTTGTTGATAGTCATGAGGAGTTAACAACAGTAAGGGTAGGTAACCGGCCGCCGAATATCTTTCTCCTTTGAACTTTACAGGATATCGATAGGATACCCCTCGTGGTGAGTCGCTTTACATTAAAATAGTTGAAGAATATGAGAATGATGAGATTAGAGCGGGAGCGAGATAGCAGAAACGTTAACGAGGCACACTCCTCTGCTGGCCATTAAGATTCATCAATAGAAGTGTAATGGATCGGCAACTATCGGCCAATAAGTGAAAGCATGTGAAAAGTTATCGGCGTTAGTTCCGTCTTCCCTTCACTAGCCGGCACACACTCTCCCCTTCTCACTCTCTCCTCCTCTTGCAATATGCGCCCCTCTCCTCGTTCACTCATCCGCATTCTTGTACCTGTAAAACGGTATATTTATCTTCTCTCTCATAACACTACTCTACTCACAATAGCAGATGTGTAGACTACGCAGTAAAGATACGCGTCAACGCACAGCAGACAGGCATAGACACAAACGTCAAGCACTCCATGGTACGCACTCATTTCCTCCTTATTACCTCGCTCACACTCTCCAGAACCCGTTTGACGAAATCGGTACGCCCTCCCCTCTCATCCCCCTAAAGATCCTGCTAACCCTCCTCAGCTGTGGAAGAGGCCGTCCGCCTGCGTCAAAAGTTCACCTCCAAAATCGAGCAAGTCACCGCCATATCCATCGGCACCGCCAAATCCCAAGAAACGCTGCGCACAGCCCTGGCCATGGGCGCCGACACGGCCTTGCACGTCGAAGTCCCTGAGTCGGGGAGTGAGACGCTTGAGCCTCTCTCGGTTGCCAAGGTCCTGCGCGCTGTTGTGGCCAAGAAAGGACCTTTTGACCTCGTCATTCTAGGAAAGCAGGCTATTGATGACGATTATGGCCAGACGGGGCAGATGCTGGCCGGGTTGCTAGGGTGGGGGCAGGCGACGTACGCTAGTGGGGTGGAGCTAGATTTGGACAAGGGTTGGGCGGATGTAACGCGGGAGGTGGATGAGGGGAGTGAACTGGTCAGGGTGAGACTACCGGCGGTTATCACTACTGATCTGAGGTGCGTGCACTTGCATGTAATGGAGCATGAACTGACCCTTCTCTGTGTAGGCTGAATCGTACCCCCCCTTCCCTTTCCCTTCCGGTTCGTCACTAACTGACCCCCGCAGAACCCCGCTACGCCTCCCTACCGAATATAATGAAAGCGAAAAAGAAGCCGCTGGAGAAACTGACGCCTCAGGACCTAGGGGTGGACATCACTCCCCAGCTAGAGATCCTCAAGGTTGAGGAACCGAAGAAGAGAGTTGGGGGGCAGAAGGTGCGTCGTCTGGCTCGCGCTCACTGTTTGTGGGGGGTTTGGGGCAGAAGCTGATTTTTTGGGGTGTTGTAGGTGAAAGACGTGGATGAGCTTGTTGAGAAGCTGAAAGAGGCGGGGGTGCTCCCTGGCGTATGAGGGCAAATGACGAAAGAGGGGACAAAATGACGGGTACAGTACGTTCAACCATGCGTGTTGCGCTTCGCTAATGCGTTGCAGAGGAATGCATACATGGCGTGGGATGGAATATGTTCCTGTTCCTGTTACATGCAGAATAGCGTATGGTATACTACGTGGGTAATAGGAAACTGTGCAACAACTCTGAGACTTGAAGAACGAGCTGAGTTTTGACCGAATTCTGGTGCGCTGGGATAAGACTGAGAGAGCAGACAGCAGACAGTGCTTGAAGTGTTTGCATGGAAGGGGTCTGATGACTCGAACAAGGGGAGAGCTGCATGAGAGTGGGAGATGGCCATCATTGGCGCCTGAGTATTGTATCCCCCCTCCCTCTCGTCTCATGTTCTCTGTCACAGGGTCCCCACTGTCAACATCAAAGATCTTCAAGCCTAGGACAAGGCAGAAGATTCTTTGAATCTACTAATGTAAGTATGAACATTAGTATTATTTAATTGCCCTTGCTGACAGTCCACAGATGCATTTTGTGACAGTGAGATCATGACATTAGTAGGGTTAGGGTTAGGGTCAGGAGTGTATGGGATCAGAAGACTGGCTGAAGTTGGGGACCAGTGCTTTTCCTCTTCCTGCTGTAAAATGTTCCACTGAACAACACTCATCAGCAAACTTTTGGAATCATGGACTTGGTGCTGTCAGGTGTGTTGTGTGTCACAGGTGTAAAGAGGATGTTGTTGAGCTCTGGGTTATAGGATGAGCCAAGCACAAGATGGCAGATAGGGACTGACAAAGGGGGTGTCAGGGGACATCCCTAAAATCAATTGTGAACAGCTACAATTGACAACAATCAGAGCACAGTCACATGGCATGACACCCCAAATGACAGCTGATACTACAATCACCTGACTCCAAGAAGGACATATCCCAGAACATGAGATGTCAGTCATAGATTGTGCAGGACCAACCAGACAAAAGACATAAGGTGCCTGCCCTAAACAAGCTGTATAGTCAGCCACAGACTTTGCTTCCTTTTTACTTCCATACCTAGACATATATAGAACCCTAGGTATAGCCCCTGTAGCTCTTTAGAGCTAATCTCTTAGGAACCCCATGGTCCAAGGTCATTAGGTTCTAAACACAAAGCTTTAATCATTCTGAATGTGCACATGACACACACACAATTGTGCCTGTTGGCTGCCAATCCCCACTTACTCTATAACACCCCTGTTGATCACTCTGTTTGTGAACAAATGTTGAGGTATTGATTGACATATGACTCACTACTCTCTGCTTTGCTTGTCACCTGTTTGGTTATTTGATCATCAACAATTGTTGGATCATGTTGCCTTCACACCAGGCCAATGAAGAGCTCAAACTTTCTGATGCTGAGGCCCAGATGTCCAGCATAGGGGAACAGAAGCAAGGATGCACTCTCCCATCAAACTGCACAGGAGCTGAAGGAGTTCAACTTAACTTTGGCCAGTGAATATTTATTCTTTAGTTAAGTTAAGGCAGACCTTTCCCCATCAGTTGAGAAACTGTTGTATCCCTCTATGCACTGGTATAAGCTCAATATATTGAATTGATTGTCTGCATGTTTTGACATGATCAACTCTGGCCAGACAACTGTCAGGGCACCAGCTCATTGCTTGGTCAAGAGACATGACTAAGCCTTTATGACATGGAAGTAGCTGGTATACCTTGGCATGTGCTGGAACCTGCTGGAAGGATTGGATGGTCAGGTGACCTGCTGTGCATGGCTGTGCATGACCTCATATGACCTCATCCTTGGTCATATGACCTGATCACCTGATTAGGCTGAGTAAGCAAGATGTCCTAGCAGGTTCCACCACAGAGGTATAAATATAAGGCCTACTCTGCCTGGGGACTGTCTCTTCAGACTTGGTCTCTTAGGATCATCCAC